CGTAACACATGTCCTAACCATCTCAGTCGATGTAATTTCACAGTCTCGTCGACTGAGTTCCCCTCCTTACCTAGCACTCGACCAATGCCTAACCTCAATATTGCTCACCCTATTATACCGCTTCACACGGGAGATAGAACGCAGACACCAATGATCAAAGACAGCTAGCCTTTTCATGTCTTCCACTCTCAATAGCCAGATCTCACATCCATAAAGGAGGACGGAGCGGACTGATGAGCAGTACACATGCCCTTTGGTCGATAATCGGATATCACGTCTACACCAGAGACGACGGTCAACGTGCTCTATCACTTCACTTCCTATTTCTAATCTAGGAGTCAGTGTAGTCCAATCCTGTGACATCATCTTGCATTTGGCGGGATGACATCAGTTACTGCTTAGTGTCTTGTCAAAGTGGTGTATAGGTGTATTCTACAATATCGTATTTTCAAGTACTTAGCTATTTTTACCAGTATGTATGAATATAGGTATATAAATACTATCAGGTGAGAGCCTACAGAGAGTGGTCATCTGAAGTAGTGTCTGTCAGAGATGTCCACTAACTCCATTTCTATTCAGTTTCAGCATAGATGTACCAATAAACTTAACTGTAGGTGACTGGAGTGACTTAGAGATTGACTTGTCACCACCGAGGAATAATCTCGTTGAATTACAATATGTATGAGGATGATATAGCCCTCTCTCCTAGGTAGATGAAGACGCTGACAAAATGCAGAGTATTCTGAACACCTAGAGGAACAACAATCTTTGAATGTTTGGCATGCGATTCACCTGCTCCTGTCAAATATAAGATTATGCTACAGGGCTGGACTATATTTGACTCACTCCTTGCTTAGAAATGGAGAGTGAAGTGGTAGAGCGTGCTGACCACTTCATTTATTTGGGGAGTTGCATCAGCCGTCGGGTTGATCGCTGACGAAGTCTCAGCACAGATACAAAACGCTCGTTTGACTATTTTTGGTCAACTTACGCCATCTTTGGCTTAGTAGACGTGATATCCGGCTGGCTATCAACCGAAAGGCGTGTACACTGCATAGCAGCAGTTCCCTCTGTCCTCCTTTATGGCTGTCAGTGAGATATGGCCATTGAAAGTGGAAGTTATGAAAAGACTAGCTAGCTGTCTTTGATCATAGGTCCCTGCATTCTATATCCCGTGTGAAGTGGTATAATAGAGTGAGTAATTTTGAGGTTAGGCGTCAGTCGAGCGCTAGGTAAGGAGGGGAAATCAATAGGTGAGGCTGTGAAGTTACATCGATTGAGTGAGATGGTCAGGACATTTGTCACGCATCCCTAGCCATTGCCTTCCTCGACAACAGGCAATATTAGCCACTGACATAGGATTGATCAGGTTGGAAAAGAGCCAGTGATGGTCAGACCAAAACATGGCTTCATCAGTCAATGAAATCCACAGCAATTAGTTTAAGCCACATAGGGGTGGGGGTGTAAGCCACTGTCTGGTTGGGGTCCTCAGGATGATAAGAATTAATGAATGCTGGAGAAGATTAGTGATATGGCTGGCTCAAAATCGTTCTCAATAGCTAGCACATATACGCTCACTCTTTGTAATTTGTCAAATCCAATAAAACTCTATTATTCTTCTTCGATATTACTATTCTTTTTGCCTCACTTACACTTCTGTTTATTGTCACTCTCTCTCTTTTGAGCCCCTTTTACTTTATTCTCTTGTTTTGTGTGCTACATGGAGGGGGTGTGACAACTCGAACTGCTGCACATCTGTGCAAATTTCAATGCTGAAACCAATCAGTTAGTCAGTCAAATAAGGACTAAGGCTCTGAATACTTTAGACGAAATTTTAGAAGAGCATCTCTCAGCCATTTTCAATCCACTTACCCATCTAATACAGAGGAATTAGAGTTAAGATTCCATGATAGTGTATATAATAGTACGCCTCGATATTAACCTAAAGTGTTTTACATATGAAGTACACAGAGAGAGGAGATACAACGGAATAAATATCCTGTCCAGACAGATTCACAATTTTCTTCTTTCACTTGCTTTCCATATTGTTATTTGTATAGAATAGACGCCTAACACGTGCAACACTATCGGCTCAATATTCAATCACACATATAAATATATAATGGGGAAATGCTGCCATCAGTAAAACAATAAATATAACCGATTTTGAAATAGTAGAACTAATATAAATTAGGTGGAAATTTCGCATTGTGTTGTTAGTCAAAAAATAAGCTTATATAATGTTGCGTCATTGCCAGGATTAGAAAGGCAAGATAGACAAACATTATTTTCAAGTATTGGTTTTGTAGGGATTTAGTTCGAATGGATGGAGGATTTCATCATGAGTTGACATCAATTAGAGAGCCATTGGAAAACAAGCTGGGAGTACTGGACAGCTGTTTCGTCCCACCAGTTTGCGATTCTTTCTCAGTGCGCACCCACCGCCATGGTTCGAACCCAGGACCTTCTGGTTACAAGGCGAGCTAGCTCGTAGACCATTGAGCCACTGAGGCAGTAACTCATCGAAGAAGGCATTGAGAAATGCTCGCGCTATGACGTGAATTGGCAGAAGTTAGAATTCATGGATTGGCCATTGAATCGGGTCCCAGTGGCTTAATGTTCTACGAGCCAGCTCTCCTTGTAACCAGAAGATCCTGGGTTCCAACGCCGGTGGGTGCGTACTCTTGACGATTCCTAAACTACTGGGATGAAACAGCTGGCTGTCCAGTACTCCCAGCTGGTTTTCCAGTGGTTCTCTAACTGATGTCAGTTAGGGAAACATTGAAAACCAGCCAGAAAGTACTGGACAGGTGTTTCCTCCGTCCTTGTTTGGAAATCATTGGCAGTAAGCACCCATCGCCAGCGTTCCAACCCAGCACCTTCCGGTTACAAAGCAAGCTCGTATACCACTCGGGTACTGGAACCCGATTCAATGGTCCACCGATGACATTAGTTGATAATCACGTTAAATCACGAATTAGTAAAAGTTTGAATTCATGGACTGGCCATTGAGGAGTCAGGTCCCAGTGGCTGAATGTGTACGAGCTTTCCTTGTAAACGGAAAGTTCTGGATTCGAACTCTGGCGGCGGGTGCGTGCTGCCGATGATTCCCAAACTAGGCTGACGAAACAGCTGTCCAGTACTCCCTGGTTGGTTTTCAGTAGTTCTCTAACTAATATCAATCCGTGGTCAAACTCGTAAGAACCGCCATTATTACTATAACTATTACTATTATTATTATTATTTGTCATTACAACTATTACGACTAATTGCACTATTTATATGCACAATCTTATTATCCCATAAACAAAACACCATGATTGGTTTATATTTGAACTTTTATCTGTAGTTATATATATTAGGGTTAATTAAGCCTGATGAGATCAAATTGAAAACAACAATATTGTTTGCTTGAATGTGTTGTTTTAAATTTTACTATGAGAATATTTAATATTAATGGTTTAATTACGAAAGTTTCGTCATCTTCCTAGATCATATAATCAGTGCTAAAGTCAAGACAAAATTAGCTTTAGGAATTCTTTATCGTTTTTCTGATAACTTTAACCATGATTATTGTTTTTATGATACTTCTTCCTATAGTTCGTTTCTAAGGATTATTTTTCTTATTTTTACGAGTTGATCACGGATTGATATTAGTTAGAGAACTATTGGAAACCAGCCAGAGAGTACTGGACAGCTGTATCCTCCGTCCTAGTTTGGGAATCATTGGCAGTATGCATCCATTGTTTTTTCTTTCATTTTTATTCATCAATTATAGTGTATTGTTTTAATTACCTGTGTGAAACAGGTGACCTTATACCAGAATGAAGGTTTCATTTGACCTTTCGAATGTTTATGTGAAATAATTTGAAATAGTGATTTTCATTAGCTGTACTTTTCGGTACCCTGATTTAAATGTGTACTTTACTGTACATTAGGTTGTTACACTTATTATTATTGCTTGTAAAGTTTCTCATTTGGGTAGAAAAATAGGCCAGTTCGCGCTTCGGTGGCACAGTGATAGAATGCTTACCAAACACGTATGAGGTCTGGGAATCGAACCCCTCTTTTCCAACCTGACCCTGTATCAACTGACATTGCCTGTTGTTGAGGAAGTCGATGCCTAGGCATGCGTAACACATTTCCTAACCATCTCAGTCGATGTAGCCTTACAGCCTCGTCAATTTTAATTCCCGTCCTTACCTAGCACTTGACCAATGCCTAACCTCAATATTGCTCACTCTATTAAAAAACTTCACTTCTCGAACTTGTAACGCAGAATATGTAACTCAAGCTCGTGCCGTCACCCAAACACATCATCATCAGCATATCCACTATATCAATTCGGGCTCCTATATTCTATAGTGTGTGTGCATCGATGGCACAGCGGTAGAGTGTTCGCTGACCACGCATGTGGTTTGGGGTTCGATCCCCAACCGACGCACTCCTTTAACTCGCCAAACCAGTAATAAAAAGCCGGTAAAGAGGAAAGGTTACACATGAGGCTAGCAACCTCATCCTGTAAAAGTAAACACTGCTACAGAAACTTCAAGCCTCTAGCTTGAAGCCTTATGTTCCACTGGGAACGTGAAGGAAAAAAAATGAAAATGATTATCTGTCCACTTCACCTTTATTTGGTATTACGTAACTTTTAAGATTTGACCTAATTTATTTATTTATTGAATTGTCTACATATATACACATATTACTATCTTTGTTATTCTTATCACCAACTATATAAACCTTATTATCATTATTTTGTTATCACTATGACCATCGTTGTTACTGACGTTCAAAACATTATCACATTATTATGGTTTAATTCTGTTTTATATTATAAATCTATGTAAATTAGAGAGTGAAGCCTGAAGAAGATCTACTTGAAAACAACAATATTGTTCGCTTATATGCATCTTGTTCTAATATCCTTGTGTTGTGTTCACCAGGACTTGGTGCATTCATTTCATTCTCACTATTTTTTTTTCTTTTTTATCTTTCAGTCGGAAAACAAACAATTCACCTTCATTGAATTATTATATCAACAAAGTTAACAGTCAAAAGAATCATGAAACTCAGGCGTTACATCCACTTCAACAGTCTTCAGGAATATTTAGTCGTAAACAAGAAATAATTATTATGCCTAACCATAGTACCAAAAATAATAATAATAATAATAGCAATAAACTATTGAAGGATACATTACCACAGTCAAGTGTCACACCAACCAGTCAACAGCAACAACAACATTCACAGTTGTCAACAGTCTATGCTAAAGAGAAGTCGAATTCAATTAATGTTCATTTCAGACAGGTAATTCGTTTGTTAGTTATATGTGTGTGTGTGTGTAAGACTTGGGGTATGTGGTAGCGTGTATAGTAGTAGTAGTATGTAATCGCAGCGAACAATTGTTTTCGATTTAACTTCTCTATCAAGATCTATAGTTAGTTTTCCAGAGTTGGTTCAACCACGGATTGGTATCAGTTAGAGAACCATTGAAAGCTAGCCAGGGAGTACTGAACAGCCGGCTGTTTCATCCCAGTAGTTTTGGAATCATAAGCAGTACACACCCACGCCGTGGGGATCGAACACAGGATCTTACAAACCAACTCTTGAGAATTAATCTGATGCTCGCTAGTGACTACTGGCTACAGGATGGAGTTTCCTGAAGTTTGAGTGCGAAATCGAGACCAGTGAGGTCCATCAAATAAAGAGTGTGAGGATGGATGTCTCGCCGATAACATTGGTTGGTGCCAGTCGCGCGAAAATCAGGAATTGGTAGGAATTAGAATTCATGGCCATTAAATCGGTTCCGGTAAATAAAGCTTCAGTTATCAATCCTTCTCGCATCCTCTTACATTGGATCTCAAGACTATCATCCGATCCAATCCTACTGAAAGATTCTGTGGGATTCCATGCACTGCTATGGCTGAGCTATTTTCTAAATTTTTTATCTTATTAGGGTCGACTAATCTAGATTTTATTAGGTGTTTGTTCTCATCTAGTGTGATTCAACCGTTTCTACTACTCTGACCCATGTATTTCAAGTGACAATCATTCCAGCAGGGTATTAGATAAACTAAATCGTTTCCTTTTATGAGCTCCACAGGAACCTTTAACCGGCATAATGTGTTTCTAAGCAAATTTGTGGGCTCTAATACCACTTTTATTCCTGCATTTTTAAGAAATATGCGTAAGGTTTCAGAGATTCCTTCTTTACATGGACGTACTACTGATGGTGATTTAAATTCCTTATTGTTGGTGTTATCATTCGTGTCATCCTTATTATTATTATTGTTATCAATTTTAGTTTTTCAATTTCCTGCATACTTTCAGATTAATGACGTGTGGTAATTATGAAATTTCAAAACTTCTCTTCTATCTCTCATTTCCTGTTTTAAATATTTCGCCAATTCTATTTTTAGTGACATAGAGTAGGATGATCGGAAATCCAAATATCGGTTTGAATGTGTGAGTTTTCTGTAAACGCTAGTGTGCTTAACTTCCCAACTTCTCTCCTTTTTATGATACAATCTGACATTGGAAACTCCCCTTCCTGACTTTCTACCTCATAAGTGAATTGGATTGCCTTCAGCTTCGAGTTGATGTGTTCAAAAAATCTATTTATATCCTGTGTTCTGAGTACGGTGAATATGTCATCTACATACCTCTACCATACATTGGATAATGCGGTCAAACATTCCAGTCGTTAAGTTTTTCCCACCTAACCATGAATACATCTGCCACTACTGGAGATATTGTGCGTCTGTCGCTTAGCGGTAGAATGCTCACCAACCGTGCTTGTAGTTTGGAGTTCAATCTTCGTCCACTGGACGCACTCCTTTACGTCGCTAAGCCAGTAAGAAGACAGGTAAAGAAGGAAGGTTGAGCATGAGGCTAGCAACCTCACCCTGTAAAAATAAATACCACTGCTACTGAAACTTCAAGGCTCTATCTCGAAAGTCTGTGAACCACTGGGATCGTAAAGGAATATAATAAATAAAAATGGCGATATTGGTGACCTAATGGCAGCTGCCTCAGTGATTGTTTATTTACTTAGTTTGTTTTATGTTCCATCTCAACTCCCCAGCTGACAGCCTCACTTATCGTGTGATGACTGATCATGCTACTTCCCACTTGCCTAGGATGAAGTAGTTGGAGGTTCGGAACTCGAACCTGTGACCATCTACATAGGAGAGAAAACCGAGTGCTTAAGCTAACACCCCTCCTGCATCTTGCTGAAACTTAATAATAATAATAATTTGCTTTATTCCAGAAACAGTACTAGTGGTACAGTGTGGAGTTTTCAGCACATATCTACAATATTTGCATCTTATTTTATCAAACATTCAAGAGGAGTATTTCAAAAAAATAAATGTAAAGACACCAATAGCAAAAAACAGGAAAAAAACAAAATAATTTTTAAAAAATGCGAAAAAATATCAAGAAGTAGAAAGGAAGATAAACAGCACATAATAATAACTCAGTATGATGTAATTATGCATGGTGACAGTAAAGCTATAGTATTACAAGAAGTTATGAAATGATATTTAAGAATGTTTATCACCAAGAAGATCAGTTAATTTTGGTTGAAACAACACTAAACAATCATAAAATAACATTTCAGGGTTATTTTTTTATCAGGTCTAATACGGTGTTTGTTGTAGTAGTGTGAGTAATCCTGCATAATACAAAATTTTCTTTAAGGTGGTGACAATTGCGTTCACAACCAATGATTGTCAGTTAATATTGCCGAAAAAAATAAAAAATAAGAAAAAACAATCACAAAACTAATAATTACATGATGGTTAATGACAGGACAATTTTGTAATACTCATAGTGCTAATATAGTCAGAACCAGTAGATACACAAAAGAAGGAATACAGTAAAGTACAAAAAAGTAAGCCAATGTTAATAATTTAGGTAGCTAAGTATGTTTGAGAAGGAGTTCACAATAGAGTACAAAATAAGAGTGAAATAAAAGAGCCTAAAATTATGTTATTGACAACAAAACAAGTCATAGGTTTCGCGCTTAGCATTGCCTCTGTCACTTAGAACACTTGGGACCATGGCCAATGAACATAACTAGTTTAACCTCACTCTTCTAGGTAAATTAAGGACTGAGTGACAATTGACCAAATATCAAAATCTATTTATGGTCGACATTGATCAAAAGATGAAATACAGCGAAATTAGCTCCCGCATATTCATATTCTGTTGGCTATTGTTAGTCAAAATATAAGCAGATTTGAGAAACAAGCGAAATAAATCATGAAACGTGTCATTTAGGTGACTTCAGGTTATGTATGTCTCTCAAAGCAAGTATAGACAGTGGATTTGTATCACTGGAATTTACAAACCATAAGACTAGAGTTATGATAATCGAAGTAAAAAAGATTTTATCATCATAACTCTAGTAGACTAAAGAGCGTATGTACTGCTCAGCAGTTCGCTCCGGCCTCCTCAGGACTGTCAGCGAGACATCGAAAGTGGAAGACATGGAAAGGCCCGTTAGCTGTCTTAGATCATAGGTGTCTGAGTTCTACCTCCCGTGTTAGGTGGTATTATAGGTTAAGCAATATTTAGGTTGGGCGTCTGTCGAGTAATAGGTAAGGAGGGGACTTAAATTGACGAGACATTGAAGCTACACCGATTGAGATGGTAAGGACATGTGTTACGCATGCATCTCTAGCCATCGCCTTCTTCTAATGGTAATATTAGCTGACTGACGTAGGATTGATCAGGTTGGAAAAGAGTTAGCCAGCAGTGGTCAAACCAAAACATAGCTTTATCAGTCAATGAAATTCACAACAGTTAGTTTAAGCCAGCCAGCCAGCCACGTAGGAAGGTGTAGACTTCCTGACTTGTTGGGGTCCTCGGGATGGTAAGAAACAATGAAGGCTGGAAACAGTCGGTGATATGGCTGGCTCAGAATCGTTGTTCTCAGTGGTGTCTGGCGCAGATGCGTCCACTCCTTGTGACTTGTGGTAACCAATGTAACTATATTGTTTTAAAACAATTAGTTACCTTTATGAATTTAGACAAAGCAATAAGAAGACGTAATTTGTCTGAATCGTGTAATGTGTATTTGAGCAACACATTTCGAACAATCTGATCACACACGGACTTGTCATAGGAATATATATGAAATTAATAAAGAGGTAAGAGGTGAGAAAATAGACAAGTTGGGTCAAGTTAAAAGGACATATTCAAAGTCAAAATAACAATGAAGATCACTAAACCAAATAGCAGAGGTAATAGTACATCTACCCTGGCTAGTATCAAAACAAAATTTACCAAGGAAGGTGGTTTAATGTGGTGGCGAATTGTTTTGATGAACGCATAAAGGTGGTTTAAACTTTCTAATTGTCAGCTAGGGCTTCCACAAACTTAAGGATACTCCCTCCTCCAAATACGTTTTATAGATAGGTCTAAAGGATGTGTTAACATCAATTTTGTGTCCTGTCTCTATAATATGTTTCGCAATAGAATGTACGTGTGGACACACATACATAGGGAGGACTCATCGATCTCTGCAAGTAAGGGCTGGCTTCAGAGCATATTCCTAAATGGATTTAGAAACAAAGAGAATCTCCAGAACCCATTATTGGTGCAACAAGAGACCTATTTCCTCTACTGCGAAACATATTATAGAGACAGGACACAAAATTGATGTTAACACATCCTTTAGACCTATCTATAAAACGTATTTGGAGGAGGGAGTATCCTTAAGTTTGTGGAAGCCCTAGCTGACAATTAGAAAGTTTAAACCACCTTTATGCGTTCATCAAAACAATTCGCCACCACATTAAACCACCTTCCTTGGTAAATTTTGTTTTGATACTAGCCAGGGTAGATGTACTATTACCTCTGCTATTTGGTTTAGTGATCTTCATTGTTATTTTGACTTTGAATATGTCCTTTTAACTTGACCCAACTTGTCTATTTTCTCACCTCTTACCTCTTTATTAATTTCATATATATTCCTATGACAAGTCCGTGTGTGATCAGATTGTTCGAAATGTGTTGCTCAAATACACATTACACGATTCAGACAAATTACGTCTTCTTATTGCTTTTTCTAAAGTATATTGTTCTTCGATATTACTATTCTTTCTGCCTCATATCTCTGTTTACTGTCTCTATTTTGTATTTCTTTTTACTCTCTTCTCTTGCTTTGTGCGCTATGTGGAGGGACTGTGGCGACTCGAACTGGTGCACATATGTGCAAAGTTCTACGTTGAACCCAGTCAATCAGTTAGTCATGGTAATCAGAGTATAAACTCACTGAGAAAGTTTCATATTGAGAACAATAATGATAAATAAAAGCCTTACAGTTGATGCTTTGATGCTTAACATGACTCGGTGCTAGGCTCAGATATTAGCCACACCCTCCTGACGACTTCTGATTAGGACGAAACATGAGTCTTATAACCTTGCACTGCTTTCTGTCTAAAGGAAAACTTATAAGAATGATAAAACACTGAGATGTTTTTTCACGATGTCAGTTACTTTATGATCACTATCGATCAACTGAGTCTTCAAGGTTTATATGTGGGTGGTTTACTGTTAGAATGCTCGCTAACCATACACAGACAAGTGCTCCCTCTGAAACCCAGTAATAGATACTCCATGGGAGGATTTAGATACACTCACCAGTTGACGAGTCTTAAATAGGACAAGACGCTAATTCTTTGAATTCTACTAATTGAATTGAAGAAGGGTTGCTAATGAATAAGGTGAAGTGTTTCCACTTGCCCTATCTTGTTCTCATTGCTATTAGAAACACTAGGATAAGATCAAATCAGTGTGTTGGTTTAAGGGAATCTGATTGGTTACATGTCTGATAATAAGTTGACATCAGTTATAGAACCAATTGGAAAGTCAACAGCTGTTTTGTCCTAGTTTGGAGAGGCTCTTTAACGGTGCTTACCCAATGGATTTTGATCCTATGACTTTCCGATTACACGGTGAGTTCGTGAACCATTCAACTAATGAAACCTGGTCCAATGGCTAGGTCATGAATTCCAACACCTACCAATTCGCAGTGTGTATGACGCAACCCCCGATTCAATGTCATAAGCGAATAACTGTTGTGTTGCCTAAGTTGATGGACGCCAATGGTCCCTACTTCTGGCTGTAACTCCAGATAACTTCCCGTTTAGAGCTTGTCGTTAGTGAGTATTAGATGAATTTTCAATTGTTGGTTTACTGGGATTTGACTGGTCCCTTAACCATGGGACAGCGGGCAATGAGGAAACAAGCATAAAATGGACTAACACAAAAACTTGGAGGATCTTGACTTCGCCGATGATATATGTCTGATTTCCCACAAACTGGAAGATATGCAAGCGAAAAGCAACAAGTTGGCAGAAGAAGCATCCAGAGAAGATAGGACTTCAGGTGAACATAGAGAAAACAGAGGTGATGAAGATTCCCGGCCAACACCATCAACAGCAGCAACAACAATAGACAACGATCAGCATAAATGGGAGGAACCTGAAAGAAACTACCTCCTTTACCTACCCACCTGGGAAGCATTGTTTCAACTACAGGCTAACGGAACTCACGAGGACATCAAAGCAAGAATCGGAAAAGTAAGACAAGCTTCCACTACTCTCAAGTCTGTGTGGAGGTCAACAGCACTCAGAATCAAAAATAACATCCTGATTCTCAACTCCAATGTGAAGTCAGTGCTACTTCTACATGGATCAGAGACTTGGCGCGTCATAAAGAGCACCTCAAACAAACTACAGACCTTCATTAACATCTGTTTTCGCTCAATTCTCAAGATCAGATGGCCGGCCAGAAAACATCAGCAACAGAGATATCTGGCAATGAGCGAACCAACACAGCAGGAACCGATTGTGAAACAAATAGGCAGGAAGAAATGGAGATGGACTGGCCATACTCTGAGAAAACAAACCATCAAGTGACATCATTAGACAAGCCATTGCTCGAGTGGAACCCGAAAGGGAAGCGGCGAGTTGGTCGTCAGTGCAAGGGTGACTTGAAGGAGGTCATGTGAAGAGGAGATGAAAACGTGTGGGCAGACTTGGAGCCAGGTGAAGACTCTAGCAGAGAATCGAACGCAATGGAGACGCGCTGCTGAAGCCCTATGTTCCTCTAGGAATTAAAGGGAACAATAATAATAATAATCAACCACGTAAGAGGGCAGTTACTCACCGATGACTTTGACTGGTGGTTGCTCTACACATAGTGGATTTGCAGAAGTTTGAATTCACCGGTCATTGGACCGGGTCTCTGAGGTTAAGTAGTCTACTGAATCGTCTTGTAACCAACCGGAAGGTCCTAATTTCGAACCCTAAACACTAAGAAAAGACACCTATCCAATTCTCTGACTGGTGTCCACTCACGTCCAAACTTGTAATTCTATTTTTTCGTCGTATTTTCTAGACTTTGACATTCATAATACTTTATTTTTTTGATTTTATAGAACGTCTCTGATAATAAACCGAAATGTGTTGACGTCAGGCGTACAACACCAAGACAACTGAAACAATATCAATCGAAACGTGGTCACCTCTTCTCGTCAACATCCCCGCCAACTTCAACGACAACCACCCTCACAGAATCCGATCATCATAAAGCTTTATTCAATCATGCCATATCTGAAAAAAGTAAAACCACAGGGAATTTTCACACTACCGGAGGGAAATCTGCCCATGCTCAACAACCCCAACAAATACATCCCGGTGATTTAGCCTCCTCTTTAATACGTACAGCAAGCCTACATTTGAAAACAACCCTGTCACGATTAAAACGATCGAATAGTGGACATACAAGTAAATCGTTAGATAATTCAATGCATACGACGAATACTACCACGACTACTACGATTAGTAATACTAACAAAACGACGACTGCTGCTGACGACGAAACATCTCTACGTCGTAGTTCTATGCCATATGATCAGAAATCAATAAAAACTATTACAAAATATTATGAACGACAGTCATCAAATCATGACGATGATGATGATGATGAATTATCACCTGGTTGTACAAAATGGTCTACACGACTAGGTCCTCCGCCACCGTGTACTCTGAGTACGCCGATTGTCGCCTCATCAATTCATAGAAACACTTGTCCAAAATGTACCACCTCGATGGGAACTTATGCTACTACAATAACCACAGTCTCCGCTGGTACACGAGCGCTGGCAAGTGAAAATAAAGATTCGTCATTATCGCATCCATATACCTCTATAACTACAACTACCCACACTACTAATAGTGGCAATGTAAGTAGTGCATTTTATTCATTGCCTACATGTGAATCAAATGAGATTAATCTTTTAGCTGATGATTGTATAGATTTTGGTACACTTGGTCGGATTAATTTTCGTACAGGTAGTTTTATGGGTCGTTATCCAAACTATTCACGATCGAATCAACTTCAACAGTATTCCCGTGGTCAAAATACAAGCCATATACAACAACAACAACAACAACCACAACAACGTCCATCTGATTATCGACCACTTTACTTGTCAGTTCAACCGCAAACATCCTCCTCCTCGGGGAATACAACACGTTCTGCGCCTTCACCAAGTCTTTCATCAATCACATCAACACAAGGCGTATTAGTATTGTCTTCATCGTCACCTAGTGGTAGTTATCATCAAGACGCATATCAACACCAGGTGAATCAATGTCTTCAACAGAATAAACCAATCGCCTTGAAGACATCGTCTGCTTCATCGATTACGGTTGCAGGATCATCGTCACGTTCATCCAGAAATTATTCTTTACATTATCCACAGGCAATTGATAGTGTTGTTGCCTTCGGTGGTGGTGGTGTCGGGGGTGTTGAAGACTATTCAATACCTGTTCAACATGAGGATATTTTATCTGTATCAAGTAGAAATCCACATCGTGAATTAGATCCAATCTTGGCACGTCTTCTATCAGATGTTACCAGTATTGATGAGTATAGATCATCATTACAACCTCATGGTAAGTTATGATTTCATTGAGTAATTTTTCTTAGACATGGTTTGTTGAAATTATTATTGTTCCCTTGGGTTCCTAGTGGAACATAGGACTTCAACTGCATGCCCTGCACTTGCTTCTGTCTTCTGCTGTACTTTCCACCTGCATCCATGTTATTCCATACTGTTTCAACTCCTCTTCACACGATCTCCTCCATGTCACCCTTGCACTGACGTCCCACTACTCGCTGCTTCCCTTCCGGGTTCCACTCGAGCTATGGCCTGACGCACGATGTCACCCAACGGCCTCCTCAGCGAGTGTCCAATCCATCTCCACTTTCTCCTGCATATCTGTTGGGCGACTGGTTCTTGTTTTGTTTGTTTGTTCCCATAGTTTCTTGTTAGTTCTTGTTCTTTCCGGCCATCTGATCTTCAATAGTATAGAACGAAGACACCTGTTGATAAAGGTCTGCAACAGGCTGTTGGAAATATTCTTTGTGACCCGCCAAGTGTCTGATCCATCCGTATAGAAGAACTGACTGACTTGACGTTTGTATTGAAAATCCGAATTTTGTTGTTGTTGATGCTGAGGAGTGATGAAGATTTCCAGATTGGTTTTAGGTTGATGATTGTGTTTGTCGCCTTCCCGATTCTCGATTTGACATCCTCGTCCGTTCCTCGTGTAGTTGAGACAGTGCTCCCTAGATAAGTGAATGAAGTAACCTCTTTCAAATCCCTTCCGTTGATGGTGATTGGCGCTGAATGTTGTTGCTGTTGTTGTTGTTGGTTGGTTATTTTCATAACCACCGTCTTGTCTATTTTCATCTGGAGTCCCGTCTTTGCTGCTTCTTCGACCAGTTTGTCGGTTTTCGCTTGTAAGTCTTCGATTTTGAGTGACATCAAACATAAATCATCCACGCGCGAAATCCAGGTCTTCTAGATTCTACACGTCGGTCCAGGATATCCCTGTCTTCTCGTTTCCCACTGTCTGACGCATAATCCAGTCCACCACAATTAGGAATATCATTGGTTATAATAAGCATCCTTGTCTAACTCCTGTGTTTACTGCAAACGCTTCGCTGAGTTTTCCGTTGTGGATGACTTGACATGTGCCGTTGTCGTACAGCTGTTGAATAAGTTTGATGAATATTTCGGGTAGGCCGTAGTACTTGAGTAGTTTCCAAATTACTTCGCAGTCAACGCTGTCGAAGGCATTCTTAAACATGGTTTGTTGAAATAGTCTATGCCATCTCTGGCGAAGGCGTGACATCCGGCTATCAACGTGTGTACTGCTCAGCAGTTCGCTCCGTCCTTCTCTATGGCTCTGAAACATGGCCAATACGAGTTGAAGACATGAAAAGGTTGACTGTTTTTGATCATAGATGTCTACGATCTCTTTGTCACGTTAGGTGGATAATAAGGTAAGTGATGTTGACGTTAGGTTAGGCGGAGAGTGTTGGGCAAAGAGGGAAAATCAATCGACGAGGCTCTAAAGTTACATAGATTGAGATGGCTAGGTCACGTGCTGCGCATGCCTAGCCATCGCCTCCCCCGACGGGCATTACTAGTTGATGATATAGGTGCAGGTTGGAAAAGAGTAAGTGGTGGCCAAACAAAAACATGGCCTCATCAATACATGAAATCCTTGACAGTTAGACTGAGTCAGGTAGATAGGGAGATGCAGACTTCCGGGTTGGGGCCCGCCCTCGGGACTCTAAGAATCAATGGCTGGAGACAATAGGTGACATGGCTCAAAATCGTTGTCAATGGCTTACGCAGATGTATTCAGTCTCTTGTGGAATCTTTCATATTCCTTTCTACCATTACTCATTCTGTTTCACTCTTATACATGTCAAAAGTCTATTGATTCTCTTCACTGATTTTCTTGTCTACGTTTGTGTGCTATTTGGAACGTGGCAACTGGAACTGCTGCACTTCGGTGCCAAGTTCTCTGTTGAATCCAGACAGACAGACAGACAGAAATAGTCGGTTGAAAAATTTCAGTACATACTGCGGTTTCTTACTTTTTGAAACTCTGCTGTATGATGTATCTGTACGGCGGTGATTCAGCGGTGGAATGCTCGCCAACCGCCCCTCAAGTGTTTCGGGCTATGTTAGTTGACATAGGATCGGTGAGGCTGGAAAAGAGCTAGTGGTAGGTAGTCAAACGAAAACTTGAAATCAGTCCATGAAATCATTGAAAGCTAGTTTGAGCCACTTAGAGAGAGAGAGAGGTGTAGACTGCTGTCTGGTTAGTAAGCCCGGTACAGAGGGGAAGTTGATGACGTGTGTCAAGGAATCCTGCTACTGAAACTTAAAAACAAAAAGCTTGAAGCCCGATGTTCCACCTGGAACACAAAAGGAATAAAATAACTAAAAACAAAATAATAAATGCCTAAGGTATTTGTGCACCAGCGTTATTCAGTGAAGCCGTGAAAATAGGTCCACCAGTAATTTGTGCATGAATTGTGCTCTGAATCAGCGTGTCAGAAGTTGCTAGTCACGTAATTAGTTAGTCAGTTGGTTGGCTTGAACACAACTTTGAGTATAAACTAGTTCTTAATTGGTAGATGGTGACTAACAGTGGAATCCAGGACAACGCGCATTTCGTCCTATTCGGGGCTCGTCATCTGCATTCCCCAGTGAGTGATGATGTTCCCACCGAGGCTCGAACCCAGTGCTCATAGTTTCAAACGCCAAAGCGTTATCCGCTAGACCACTCAAGCCACGAGGGCTGGCCACCTCTTGTGCAACGGGTCATATTAATTATTTCATTGAATCCTAGATTCTCCTGTCGATTGATTGGACCGAAGTCACATCAGTTTGTGACTCTTCACCAGTACACACCCACCACCAGGGTTCGAACCCAGGACCGGGTTACAAGTTGGGCTAGTCCGTAGACCATTAAGCATACTGAGGAGTCCCAAACTAGGACGAAACAGTTGTCCAGTAATTCCAATTGATTTTCCAATGGTTCTCTAACCGATGTCAGCTCATGATGAAATCCTCTAACCAATCAAACAGAAAAATCCCTACAAAACTAATACTTGTTTATATATATATATATATTTCGCGAGATAATATCATTTCGTAGTTTCTTTACAACCGTTTTACAACTGACATGGTTAACAATAATACAATAAAGATCATGACAATTACTCAATTATATAAAAAACAAAAGTACATACTAATAACCAATCATATTTAAATAGGTCAAGTAGTCTATGGTAGGCGAAAGTTGATGTCTATTGTTTTTTGCACATATAGTTTAGGTTGTATGTGATTAATCCAAAGCGCTTCCAACACCTTCAATAATCAACCTTGAATTAGAATTATGTGATGAATTAATTGTGAAGCAGTCATTAATAATACTGATTTTGTGACTTGACATTAATAAGTGCTTTGCAATGGATGGTGATGCTGGATTTCTATTCAGATTAATTGCATTGGGATTTTCTATGTTTTAATAACCATTTTCGACGACCACATTGGAACATTCTATTGGTTCTACCTATATAGTGTGTGTTACTGCAACTGCAGGTGAATTTGTAGATACAGTTTGAAGTAGAGTCCACAGAATTTCGTCCTTTAATCGTAGGTACAGGGATCGAAAATGTTTGGCATGTGAGGGAAAGAGATGTGGCATAGAATGTGCTTCTGATGGCTGATCGAAGTCTTTGAACTGACAACTGCATAATCTGATCACCCTTGCATGGTAGGTACGGTTAATAAGGATAGCTTTCTTTGGTACAGAAGCTGTCTTTTCTAGATGTGGTCTATCCTTACTGCGACAATTGATAAAGTTTTCTGGATAACCATTAGCTAATTTAAAAAACTGAATATATATGTTGAAGCTCATCCATCAATGTGTCGCTCGTGACATATTTTGTGGGCCGTTGAAAACAAACATTTCACTAGGGAACGTTTATACTGGATAGGAACAAAATTGGTGAAATGAAGATATTGTCCACTCCATGTCTGTTTACGAAAAATAGATAGTTGAATCGTTCCATCGTCTCTCCTAGTCATTGAAATATCCAAGAAACCGAGTTTGTTATTCGATTCAAATTCGGGAGTCACTCGGTTATTAGGATGAATATGATTAAATGGAGTAATAAAGTTTTCAACAGACTTACTATTACTACTAATAATGAGTGTATCATCCATTATACCCATTTCTATTCAATTTCATCATAGATGTACTAATGGAATTAACCCTAACTGACTTCAGCGACTCAGGGATTGACTTGTTACTGGCAGAGAATAATCTCGTTGACTTAAAATATGCAGATGATATAATCCTCCCTTGTAGGTTAAGACGCTGACAAAATGCAGAGTCTTCTGAGCACCTTCAGCAGCCGTCTTCGAATGCTTGGCATGCGATTCGCTCCCGCCAAATGCAAGATGACCAGGCTACAGGACTGGACTACATTGACTAACTCCTAGCTTAGAAATAGAGAGTGAAGTGGTTGGTGGAGCGTATTGACCACTTCACTTATTTGGGAAGTTGCATCAGCCAACGCCAACGGGTTGATCACTGGCGAAATCTGTGCACGGATACAGAAGGCTCGTTTCACATATGCCAGTTTACACTGTTTCTGGCCTAGTAGACGTGATATCCGGCCGGCTGTCGACCAAAGGGCGTGTGTACTACTCAACAGTCCGCTCCGTCCTCCTTTATGGCTGTCGGTGAGACCTGGCCATTGAGAGTGGAAGACATGAAAAGATTAGCTGTCTTTGATCATAGGTGTCTGCGCACTATCTCCCGTGTAAAGTGGTATAATAAGGTGAACAATATTCAGGTTAGACGTCTGTCGAGTGCTAGGTAAGAAGGGGAAGCAAATCGAAGAGACAATGAAGTTACATAGATTGAGATGGTTAGGATAGGTGTTACGCATGCGTCCCTAGCCATCATCTTCCTTGACCACAGGCAATGTTAGCTGACATAGGGTCAGTTTGGAAAAGAGCTGGTGGTGGTAAAACCAAAACATGGCTTCATCAGTCAATAAAATCTACAACAGTTAGTTTAAGCCATGTAGAGAAGTGTAGACTTCGTGGTTGTGGTCCTCGGGACGGTAAAGACCAATGAAGACTAGAGACAATTGGTGATATGGCTGGCTCAAAATCGTTGTTCTCAGTGGCTGGTGCAGATGTATCCACTCCTTGTGACTTCTAATACCCAATAAAACTATGTTGTTCTTCCATATGACTATTCTTTTTGCCTCATATCTCTGTTTACTGTCACTATTTTGCATTTCTTTTTACTTTCTTCTCTTGCTTTGTGTACTACACGGAGGGAGTGTGGCGACTCGAACTGGTGCACATCGGTGCAAATTTCTACGTTGAAACCGGCCAGTCAGTCAGTCAGTCTCATCCAAAGAACGACGTTTTTATAGCATAAATCCTCCTAGCATACCTTGCATTTGTTTGTCCAATTTCTACATGAATATATCCCTTTATTATTATTATTATTATTATTATTATTATTATTATTATTATTATTATGTAGGCTCAATTACACCTCCGTCAACATCAAGCTCATCCATACATCGTAAGCGTAACACTGCCGCTCATCAAAAACAACATTCACCCATGTTAACAACAGCTTCAAGTGATCCAGATTCAATTTCACGATCTGCTGAAAATCTATCGATTCAACAAAACATCATGGATGATATATGGGATTTAAATAAACAAATTGGAGATTTAATACAAATGGAATTTCATTATAGGCAGAGAAAGCCAACGACAACAACATCGACAGCAGCAACAAAAACAGTCTCAGCGATGAAAAAATATCAATCATCTCCTCATGGTACCTTGATATCGGGATCTAGAAGTTCAGCACCAAAGTAAGTTAGTTCATGCAGAGATGACCAGTTGAAATGAGGATCTTTTTTGCTTTTTAATTTGACAGAAGACCAGTAGTTCAGTGAAGAGTCTCTTTTCGGCGGCGAATTCATTTTCATAGCTGTATAATCGCAAATATATATGGTTGTTTTGTATGTTTGCGTGTGTGTACATTAAATTTGACAAACGAAAATACAATTAGTAAGTTCAGATGAATTGGATGTTGATATAAGAGGGTAGTAACAAAAGTGATGAGTTGTCACAAACGATTGTTAAAGAAGAGTTACGTAACAATAACATGAATAGTTTGATGAAAGAGTTGTGCTCAGGGTGTACATGGAAACAAAATAACATACAGAATTACACAAGAGTTTTAAGTAGTTAGAAAAATAAGCATACAAGCAAAAGTTAAGTCAAATCAACAGAGTTGTTACCATGATAGTAGAAGTGATTGAATAATTTTCTTTTGTATGCGTAGTTCTGGTTCTTCCAACTGAATGGCTAGGACTTCTGAAATGCAAAGAAGACGGAAATGTATTGTCTTTGACAGGTTGTTCTTCACTTTGTAGATTACTTTGAGGGGGGGGGAGGCGTTTGCTGAGATAGAATGATCAGTGGTGACGAGATGTTCGATTATTGGACTCCTTATACGGTCCCTACTTCCTTTCTGCAGCCACTCTGGATGGTGTCCTTTGACCCTTTACGACAGGATGCGCGTCGAATGACCGATGTACCTGCTTGGCATCACAGCAACAGGTGAACTGATATATCCACATTGAAGTGGTCAGGTGCGGCATCTTTTCCTTTGAGCTTCCGTAGATGAGCGGGCGACTGGAGAACACTACTCTCAATATTGACTCAAAGAAAGTTCTTGTTAAAGAAGTGGAAATTCTCCTCTTAAAGACATCACTGAGTAGGTCACCTTTGAAGTCAAGGTTCATATAAAGTATCTTTTTTGACACGGATGGCATCTCTTGCTTTTGGAATTTCTGTTTGATGTTTTTGTCAATGAATCCTGGTGGAGAACGGTTTTGTATGAAGATTTCTTTCAGGAAGTGTAGTTCTTCTTCCAGGGTATCAGAGCTGCAGATGCGTCAGATGCGAGTAGCAAGAGATATAATTAGGCTTCTTTTTCGACTAACTGGTACCCAGTTGTAGAAGCTTGTCAGTTGACCGTTCCATGTGGGTTTCCTATGGATGAACCTTCTTAAGTTTCCGTCAGCCCTCTTAGTAAGTTCAACATCAAGAAATTTTTAATTTGAAACTGAAACTAATCGAGACCCCTACAAGAACAAAGTCTATGATCTCCAGGTCACTGATACCCACTGGATGTATATCCTGAAGCTGCACTGAGACGCTGTGTCCATTGGAGTTCATCTCATGTGTCAGCAATGATGAAGTAGGCGCTAATCGGAGGCTATATCACAAATTGACGTAGTTAGAATTCAAGTATATCTTTACCGGGATTTTATTTGATTGGTAACAGGATTTCATTATGAGTTAAGATAACGAATAACTGATATCAGTCCTCGATCAACTCGTAAAATATTTATTTATTTTATTTTTTATTCCTTCACGTTCCCAGTGGAACATAGGGCTTCAAGCTAGAGGCTTGAAGTTTCAGTAGCAGTGGTGTTTATTTTCACGGGATGGGGTTGCTGCCAGCTTCATACCCAACCTTACCTCTTAACCAGTCGTGTTACTGGCGTCGGCCAGGGATCGGACCCCTGACCACCTGCGTGGTCAGTGGGCATTCTACCTCTTGTGACTCCTCGTGAAAGGGGTCACTTACGGGGAATGAGTGTCACAAACAAATGAATAATAATAATAGTAGTAGTAGTAAATTATTTTCCAAAAGTCTTCTCATCAAGGCTATCACACATCATTGCTCCTCAGGACACGTTTGTACTATTTCATGAATTATGTATCTATGAGTTCTCATCGGTTATTATTCTTTCATTTCAACAGTGTACGAGTCGAAGAGAATAAAACGCCAGCTGATATTAAGATTAAACAATCCACCGACGATGCAACATCAACTGTCCAACCTGTAAAATCTGGAAAATATACATCGCCTAGAAAACATCCATTCCGTTGGTCAAGTCGTTCAAGACCATCTCATAAGAAAATGATATTAGCGCATACACAATCAGCCAGTGGAGGTGATGCCAGTCATTATCATCTTACTGCTAAAGATGACAATTCAACTTATCAGTCGTCAAGTTCTTTACAGCAACACCAACAGTCCACACCTGTCAAATCGATTATCAATACAAATTATGGTAATAATTATAATAATGTTATAACGCCTATATATACTTCACCAATTACCAGTACGCATCAACCGACACTGTCCAGTCGAATGGTTAACAATGCAGAGATTATACTTCATGATAGTAAAAGTGAATATGATGAGACGACGGAGTATGCAAGTTTCTGGTCATTATCTGTTGGACAGCTGACAATCCTGCGTAAATTAGCTTTAATACAGTTGGCGAGTTTAGCTGAGAAACATTGTTCGATTAATCGTTCACCATTTAGTTGGTAAGTTTAATCTGTTCAAACCTATAGTATTATTATTATTAGAATTTCATTGGTGGATGGTGACTAGCAGGAATGGAATCCAGGACAACGCGCATTTTGTCCTATTTGGGACTCGTCAACTAGCTGAATATGCCTGCATTCCCCAGCCACTGAGTGATGATTTTCCCACCACTGACGCTCGAACCCAGTGCCCATAGTTTCAAACGCCAAAGCGTTATCCAATAGACCACTTGGGCCACGACAGCTAGCCACTTCTTGTGCAACGGGTCATATTAATTATTTAATTGAATTCTACATTTTCCTGTCGATTGATTGGACTGAAGTGCTCGGTCTCCGGTTGAAATGTCGGCTTCTTGAGCAGATGCTTCAACGATTTCTTGAAATATAATTAGAGGTTAATTGGTGGATGGTGACTAACAGTGGAATCCAGATGACGAGTCCCAAATAGGACGAAATGGGCATCCTGGATTCCACTGCTAGTCACCACCCACCAATTAACCTCTGATTATATTCTCAGATATCGTAGGAGCATCTGCATAAGAAGCCGACATGTCAACCGGAGACCGAGCACTTCGGTTCAATCAATTAATGGGAAAATCTAAAATTCAGTTAGATTTATTATTAATAATATGTGTAAAACTTGGGCACTTTGGTAGTAAGTAATTCCATATTAGTTTGTTTACTAGATATATCACACACAGTGAAGAAACAGTATTATTTACTGGATGACACAGTTTCAAACATAATTTATTATTGTTCATAATCATATCTTCAAGTATTGGTTTTGTAGGGATTTTTGTTTGATTTCATGGAGGATTTCATCATGAGCTGACATCAGTTAGAGAACCACTGAAAAACCTGGGAGTACTGGACAGTTGTTTCGTCCTAGTTTGGGACTCTTCAGCGGTGCGCACCCACCGGGATTCGAACTCAGGACCTTGGTAGAAGTTAGAATTCCAGGACCATTGGGTCGGGTCCCAGTGGCTCAATGGTCTACGAGCTCGCCCTGTAACCAGAAGGTCCTGGCTTCGAATCCTGGTGGTTGCGTACTGTTGAAGAGTCCCAAACTAGGACGAAACAGTTGTCCAGTACTCCCAGGTTTTCCAGTGGTTCTCTAACTGATGTCAGCTCATGATGAAATCCTCCATGAAATCATAATCATATCATCAATTATAATCACATGACTTCGAAACTTGAGTAACATAGTTTTATTTGTTCTCTCTTTTTTGCCATCGTAGGAGTAGTAGAATTTTCCAGATATCTGGGTGGACAGGTGTTGAATCATTCCTATTACACGTGTTTGCAGTAGATTCGATAAACAAAGCTTCCGTTATCAATCTCTCCCTCCTTATACCCTGTGACATTAGACTTTAAAACTGTTATCTTATCCCATCCCATCGTATTGCATGGTTGTGTGTACTTGCATGTCGTTTAATGCTATAGCTGAACCACCATCACTCACTGGAGAGTGCAGGTACATTCAGGTGACGAGTCCCGAATGGGGCGAAGTGCGCATCCCTGGATTCCGCCATTAGTCACCATCCACCTCCCTCGGGCATATTTGTTGTGTGGCCAATAGGTCCTTGGCTTCAGTAGGAGGTCTATAAGCTTCATTTTTGCTTTCTTTTTCCAAGCAAAAGGTCAAATCACAGGTAATATTTAGCTGGCCCTAGTTCTTTTCAACTGTTTTACAGATAAAATACTCTTTTAATTTAATATAAAATATTTAACTACTTATTTCAGAATTAAGTAGTTGACTAGCACTAATGGTCATTTTACTTTTAATGCATTTCAGGCGATTTATTAAATATCGTGCTCTACTGTCTAGTGGTGATTCAAATCTCTTAGCAAATTCATTAACCACTTCACCTTTATCAGATAAAAAAGCATTTTCTAATTCAAATGATGAAACTTGGGCTACTCGATTGAATTCCACTGAGCCAAATAGTATTATGTCTCAACAAAATGAACGTATTATCACACAGTTACCAGTTCATCATAATGTAGCATATAGTGGTCCTGTATTCGGCCAGTCATTGTCTAGTTGGCAACGTAGACTTGGTTATCCACTGCCACCAGCTGTTGTACATATGATGGATCATTTAGAAATGAATGGAACTACAGCGCATGGAATATTTCGACGTCCTGGAGGTAAATTAAGAATGTTGGCGTTAAGAGAAGAAATTGAACGGGATATAAGTGAGTTTTCTTTTGCATAGATTGCCTACTGTTTATTCCTTTTGCGTCCCTATGGGAACACAGAGCTTCAAGATGTAAGCTTTAAGGTTTTACTAACGGTGGTGTTGTCTTTCGTATTGTATACTGGGTAGGGTTGGGAAGCATCGTTTCAACTACAGGCGGACGGAACTGATGAGGATATCGAAGCAGCGAGGATTGGGAAAGCAAGGCAGACTTTCATTACTCTCACCAAGTCTGTGTGGAGATCAACAGCACTCAGCATGAAAAATAAGATCCGGATTTTCAACTCCAATGTGAATTCAGTACTACTTACTATACGGATCAGAAACTTGGCGCCGCGTCAAGTAGGGCATTTCGAACAAACTACACATCTTCATCAACAGCTGTCTTCGCTCAATACTACTGAAGATCAGATGGCCGGCCAGAAATCGTCAGCAACAGGAATCTCTGGGAGCGAACCAACCAACCCAGCAGGAACCAACTGTGCAAGAAATATGCAGGAAGAAATGGAGGTGGATTGACCATACTCTGAGAAAACAAACCATCAAGTGAGTGACATCACACGCCAGGCCATCGCTCGAGTGGAACCCGAATGGGAAGCGGTGAGTTGGTCGTCATTGCGAGGATGACATGGAGGAGGAGGTGATGCGAAGAGGAGATGAAAGTATGTAGGCAGACGTGGAGCCAGGTGAAAATGTTGACAGAGAACCGAAGACAATGGAGACATTCGGCTGAAGCCCTATGTTCCTCTAGGAATTAAGGGAAGCAATAATGATACTGGCTAGGCTCCCTAGTTTCACGCCAAACCTTCCCTGCTTTCCAGGCTTACTACCGGTTAGTCGAGGTTTAAAAGTTCATTGGTTGAGACATAGAGGAGCATGAGGATTTTCTAGATCTCGGACAGTACAATTAGAGTGAACACTTCTGTGTTACTGACAGTAATTTTTAGCCCCATTTCCAACAGTCTTCATCTGTTGATTCTCAGCATCCTGAGGACCCCAGCCGACCAGCCAGGTAGTCTACTTGGTTGGCAAACAGCTACTTTCTTCAGGTTTCCCACTCTCAGCGACCGTATCTTACAGTCATAAAGAACGACAAGGTGAACTTCTGAGTAATTACAGACGTCTTTTGACCGACTATCGGATATCACACTTAGCCCTATAGATATAACGTAAGTTTGCAAATTCTACTCAGGCCTTTTGTATCCGTACTAAGACTGCTATTTTCTAAACTGACTGCGATGAGCAAAGCCCAAGAATTTTGAGCATCCTGCTTCTTGTAATTACTGCTTTTCACTTGAATCATTTTCAATTTAAGTTGGGTTCCACTCAATCCCATCAGTTGCATTACATCACTCAATTTAATTCTGTCTGTCTGTCTGGTTTCAACACAGAACTTTGCATCGATGTGCAGCAGTTCGAATCGCTACACTCCCTCCACGTAGCGCACAAAGCAAGAGAAGAAAGTAGAAATGCAGAATAGAGACAGTAAACAGAGATATAAGACAAAAAGCATAGTAGTATCGAAGATCAATATAGTTTTATAGGGTATTATAAATCACAAGGAGTGGATGCATCTGCGCCAGACTTCACTGAGAACAACGATTTTGAGCCAGCCATATCACCAATTGTCTCCAGAATTCATCGGTATTTACTGTCCCGAGGACTCCAACCATGCTGGTTAGCTGGCTTAGACTAACTGTCATGGATTTCATTGACTGATGAAGCCATGTTTTGGTTTGATCACCACTAGCTCTTTTCCAACATGATCCATCATATGTCAGCTAACACTGCCCGTCAAGGAAGTTGATGACTAGGGATGCATGCGTAATACATATCCTAACCATCTCAGTTGATGTAGCTTCACAGCCTTGTGTATTGATTTCCCATCTTCACCTAGAACTCGACCGAAGCCTAACCCCAATATTGCTCACCCTATTATATCAGCACTTAACAGAGGATGTAGATAGAACGCAGACACCTATGATCAAAGACAGCTAGCCAGGCTTTTCATGTCTTCCACTCTCAATGGCCATGTCTCGGTCACAGCCATAAAGGAGGACGGAGCGATTCAATTTAATTGTTTAACTTTATTTTAGTTTCCACCTTATTAACTCTTTCGCATTGTATTGTTGTTCTCTAAAATCCACAGTTCTCATAAGACATCTTTGACAAACATTCCTTTTGTTGATAAGATAAAATTCACTGGTTTAGAATGATTTTTCAGATAAACACCTTTATTTCTGGGACTCAATTTGAATGCCTCGCAGTCTATTTATGACATATTCAAGTTACAACACTCTCCTGTTTTGATTGGACAATAAGTAGCAAGTGATTAGTGTCGTGCCTCCTACCCTTTGTTCGGTGTAGACTGAATTCTGCCACAGTCAAGTTTGCAGTCTGCATGCCAAGTAATCCACAACGGGAAACTTACGGAATCCTTCGAAGTGAGGGTTGCCTACTATCGCCAATGATTTTCCTGATTGCAGTAGACTGGATAATGCAACGAACAGCGGCCAATGAGGAAACAGGCATAAAAAGAACTCACACAAAAAACTTGAAGGATCTGGACTTCGCCGATGATATATGTCTGATTTCCCACAAACTGGAAGATATGCAAGCAAAAAGCAACAAGTTGGCAGAAGAAGCATCAGAGATAGGACTTCAGGTGAACACCGAAGAAACAGAGGTAGGTGATGTAGATTCCTGGCCAACACCAACAGCAACAACAACAACAGACAACAATCAGCATAAATGGGAGGAACCTGAAAGAAACAACCTCCTTCACCTACCTAACTGGAAGCATCGTTTCAACTACAGGCGGAGAGAACTGATGAGGATATCAAGGCAACGGCGATCGGAAAAGTAAGGCAAGCTTTCACTACTCTCAAGTCTGTGTGGAGGTCAACAACACTCAGCATCAAAAATAAGATCCGGACTTTCAACTCCAATGTGAAGCCAGTGCTACTTACTATACGGATCAGAGACTTGCACTGCGCGTCATAAAGAGCATCTCAAACAAACTACAGACCTTCATTAACAGTTGTCTTCGCTCAATACTCAAGATCAGCTGGCCGGCCGGAAAAGATCAGCAATAGAGATGTCTGGCAACGAGCTAACCAACACACCAGGAGCCGATTGTGAAGCAAATAGGCAGGAAGAAACGGAGATGGATTGGCCATACTCTGAAGAAATCATCAAGTGATATCACTAGACAAGCCATTGCTCGAGTGGAACCCGAAAGGGAAGCGGCGAGTTGGTCGTCAGTGCGAGGGTAACTTGGAGGAGGTCGTATGAAGAGGAGATTAAAACGTGTGGGCAGACTTGGAGCCAGGTGAAAACGTTGACAGAGAACCAAACGCAATGGAGACGCACGGTTGAAGCCCTATGTTCCTCTAGGAATTAAAGGAAACAATGATAATAATAATAATAATAATGCAAGTTTGTAGTCTGGTCACTATGCTAGGTGACCATTATTGTGAATCTTGAACTGTTCAGTGATTACATCTCTGACTACAGCACTGAATAACGCCGGTTTCGAATCCTAGAAAGGAAGCTGAGTTCCTAGCTAACTTGTGAGTGCACGAAACCTAGGACCAAGGCTTCCAACCAATTGCCTCCAACTATCTAATAACACACTTGGTTTGCTATTAATCTTCTTTTTTTCTTGTTATCTTTGTTAGTTGTGTTTTTTTTTACTTATTTTTTAAAATTATTATTTTGACAACAGATTGGAAGAAATTTGATGACTGGCAACCGTATGATATAGCCGACCTGTTGAAACAATTCTTTCGTGAACTACCTGAATGTCTATTTACAAGTAAACTGGCAACTGTACTTGTCAATGTTTACGTATGTAAGTTTTGTTCAGTCGGAATAATGTGAACTTTCTTCTTCTTCTATCATGCCTAAGTATGACGCCTGCTTCAAATTCGCAGTTTTGCTAATTAATTTTCAATAATAATAATCTACTTTATTCCACAAACAGCACTACTTATAATACAGAATGGAATTCTCAGCATTTGTCACAATATTGCATCCGACTTACCTAGAATATAAATAAAACTAAAAATTAAAACAAAATTAACCAGAGGAATTTGTCCACAATTACAGAATAAAGTCAAAAATATTCGAAGTACGAATTGAGAATAATAAATATAATAGTAATAATAATAACAGTGAGTTTGTATCAAACAGTATTGGCAATTCAGTTTGAAAATTTTAGCATGTTATAGATTATTGGATCTAATGTTCTGTCGATATAGTATAGTGAAGAGAAAGACAAAATTAACAGTTATAACACAGTTTAAATGATGTTCACACTTATGAAAAAAAAACAAAGAATTGAGAGGATTATAAATAAAAGAAATACAATAACAATAAAGAATGATGCTGTAAGGGTGGAGGAAATGGTTTATTTACTAGTGCAAAGAAGGTTAGTTAGTTCATGCCTAACACTATTTTCATCACATAAAGTACGTGTCGCCAAACATGGTATAGTGGAATTTTTATACTTAGACGTACGTGCATAAAGTCTTCTGAAAAGACTTCTTGTTTTACCTGAGGAGGAGACACAAGGTTGGAGTTGCAGGTAGAGTGGGTGCTCAGTGTCTGACAAAATTCCTTTAGCGAATTTGTTGCATGACATCAAGTGCCTATCAGTGTCAAGGTCAACGATATGGCCCAATGTGATACCACTCATCCTACAGACAGTCTTCAGAGTTCTACGAAGTATGACATAGTCCTTTTCAAGCAATCCAGGAAAGAATAAGCAGGGGTAAACAATAAAGAAGAATAGGTAAAATACACGAGTTGACAAACTGTAAGCGGAGTGGTTGAGTTATGCCTGAGTGCCTTAACTTCTTAATGTAAAAAGTCAGACGAAATATTCTTTGAGAAATCGCTAAGACATGGGAAGATCAGGATAGGTAGGTCAGAAGAAAGAATTAATCCAAGATACTTAACTTCAGACTTGGTTTCCATATCAGTATCATCAATTTTGCAAGGGCCATTGGAACCAACGGTTTCATTTAACTTTCGTTTACATCGGAAACTGAAATTGACAGTCTGACATTTGGAAGGATTTAGTTTAAGGCCGTTAGACGAAGACATTTACACAGTTCAATGGAGAAGTGAATTTCTACAACATTTTCTCCTGGAAGCCGAAATTATTCAGTTCACCGCACAACAGATGAGATCTTTTTGATACCAAACTGGGTGTTTTTGTATTCCTTTACGCTCCCAGTGGAACAACATAGGGCACCTTTAAGCTAGAGGCTTGAAGTTTCTGTAGCAGTGGTGGTTATTTTTACAGGATGGGGTTGCTAGCCAGCCTCATGCCCATCCTTCCCTCCTTACCAGTCTTATAAAACTCGCTTAGTGAGTGCCTCGTCGACTGGGGATCGAACCCCGGACCACCTACGTGGTAGGCAAGCACCTTACTGCTGTGCTACCGACGTACTACCAAACTATAGCAATCAAGAAACCAAGCATATTTTGAGAGCGTTAGTGGTCCAGCGGTAGGATCCTCGCCAACCACGCATGTGGCTTGGGTTTCGACCGCCGGCTGACGCACTCTTAAAAGCTGGCTTAACCGGAAGTAAGCTCGGTAAACAGGGGGAAATCGGGCGGGTGAGTCTAACAACCTCAATCTGCAAAAATAAAAAAAATAAATCACCGCTATTGACTCTTACTGGCGGCCTGCTTAAATCACTAGGCTACCATCCATCAAAAGGCTGCTTAAACTCTTCTGCCCTTCTTATTGTTTTAATCGTGCAATTATATCAAAGGACCAATACATGGACTTGCGCGCATATTTAATTAGTTTCCCAGTGTATGCTATGCAGTTTCCGAAGGACAGAATTGGTTTTCTCTTCATATGTAGCAACAATACAACAAATGAAGTAATCCAGAGGTCAAGTTAAACTTTTAGCATCACTAACTACCAAATAGAGTGCGACCACACCAGTGACCTTGAAACACTCACTGAGCAAATTAGTGAAACCTGACAAATAATGTTGTCATCATCAATAAAATATGCTTATCGAAGTGTTTCATGTTATTAAATGGGATATCTGGCAAGTTTCAGCTTAGGTTTGGGGAAGATTAAGTTACGGTTTAGGGCAAGTACAAGTTAGGGTTAGGCTAGCCTATTAAAGGCGACATTAGGTTTGATTCGAGTTAGGGTTAAGTTCAGGAATGATTAGGGTTATGGTTAGGGTTAAAAGACCTAAATAATTACATGCATAGAATGTGGTTAAATTACTCTGTTGATATAAGAAAGAATAGAACTTGTGCACTGTAGTGGTAGAGTATAATTCCACTGTGGGTAAAATTTATTTTGATAAAGTCTCAGGGTGTTATACAGTAATATTTACTGATGACCACGTTTCGAGCACAGTTTATTTCCCAGTACATATTACTGCATAACACTGTGAGACTTTATCAAAATAAATTTTACCCATAATGGAATGATACTCTGTTGATACTCCAACCTAAAACTGAGAGCTATTTTTATCATATTTGAGAGGAAAACCTTCACGTGACTGGTACCATATGCGTTCGAGGTCATTCGGGGATTGGTAGTTGGTGGTGCTGTCTGCCTGTCTGTTTTCAACATAGAACTTTGCATCGATGTGCAGTAGTTCAAGTTACCACACTCGCTCCAGGTAGCACACAAAGCAAGAGAAGAAAGTAGAAGAAATGCAAAATAGAGACAGTAGACCGGGATATGAGAAAAAAGGAATAGTAATATGGAAGAACAATACAGTTTCATTGGATATTAAAAGTCACAAGGAGTGGATGCATCTGCGCCAGGCATCAATGAGAACAACGATTTTGAGCCAGCCATATCACCAATTGTCTCCAGAATTCATTGGTCTTTACCGTTCCGAGGACTTCAACCAAGCTGGCTGGCTGGCTTAAACTAACTGTAGTGGATTTCATTGAATGATGAATCCATGTTTTGGTTTGACCGCCGCTAGCTCTATTCCAGCCTGACCCTATGTCAGCTAACATTGCCCGTTGTCAAGGAAGGCGATGTCTAGGGATGCATGCGTAACACATGTCATAACCATCTCAGTCGATGTGGCTTCACAGCTTCGTCGATTGATTTCCCCTCTTTACCTAATACTCGACAGAAGCCTAACCTGAATATTACTCACCTTATTATACCAGCACTTAACACAGGATGTAGATAGAACGCAGGCACCTATGATCAAAAACAGCTAGTCTTTTCATGTCTGGTGGTTGATAGTGCTTGAAGTTTAACTTTGTCAATTCACATTATTGCTTGGCATGTGAATTCTGTATCAAGGGGAAATATTCTGGAACTAGATACTCTAAAATTTTCTATAATTTGTTCATATATTGTCTGAAATAAAGTTTTACTATGATTATATTACTGATTGACTAAGATAAGAGTAGTGTTACCAGTTCGCCGAAGTAGCTAACCAGAAATCGAGCGGTTCCAATTGATTCAAGTCTGTTACACGATTTCATCATGAACTGAAATCGGTTAGCGAACCACTGGAAAACCTGGGAGTACTAGACAACTGTTTCGTCCTAGTTTGAGACTCTTCACAATTACACACCCAAGTATTGGTTTTCAGGGATTTGATTGGTTACAGGATTTTATCAGAAGCTGACATCGTTTAAAGAACCATCGGGAGATTAGGGAGTATGAACTCTAATGGGTGAGCACTACTGAGGAGTCCCTAACGGGGACGATGGAAACATCTGTCCAGTACTCCCAGGTTTTCCAGTGGTTCTCTAACCGATATGAGCTCATGATAAAATCCTGCAACAAATCAATCGAATCCCTACAAACCAACACTTGATTCAGGTCTGTGAGTTGAGTCTTCCAACCGGGTACACCGATGATTAGCTTGGCCCCTAAACGAGTGAAACGGCCGTCCGATATTTAGATCCCCTCCATCTGACTGGCTGGCTGGTTCGCTAGCAAGTACTACTGATTGATGTGTGTGTGGTATACAACTACTTTTATCTCAACAAATCAGTAGTATATAGCATTATGCAAAATTTTACTATTTCATCGCCATAGACGCCCATGAAACAAATAAACTGTGAATATAATAAAAGGAGACCTTTCTACAATTTTGTAACTGGATCTCAATCCTCAAACTTTGTCATATGGGAAAGAATTTGACTTTATCGTAATAATTCCATTCTAACGTCGTAAAGTAGAATGTTTTTATGGGATTTGATCGATTTCTGGCTAATTCACAAGTCGACTTTAGTCAAGGAAGCATTCAAAACCAGCAAAGAGTAATGAACAGCTACTTCTTCCTAGTGCCGGACTCTTCAGCAGTGCGCATCCATGGTTCCACCAAGGATAGTTCGGTAACTGTAGCCAGTTCCATTGGAAAACCAGCTAGGAGTGCTGACACAACTGTTTCCGTCCTCCTAGTTTGGTACTCTTCAACACTGCGCACCTACCAGGGTTCGTCCTCCTAGATCTTCCAGTGGTTCTTTAACCGATGTCAGCTTATGATGAAATACTGGAACCAATCAAAACCCTGCAAACCAACGCCTGGAGAATAATCTGATACTCACTAGTCACTGACTGACTGACTGACTGCAGAACTAAGCCATCTGAAGTTCTTGTGAGAAGATTTTGATGTAAATCCAGTTGGATGTGGGGACAAATACTCGTAGATGACATTGGCTAATGTGGCTTAGACATCAGAATTGACAAGCTTGCTAATGGATCCTGCACCAGTGACTGTGAACAGTCAACAGGCTCTCCTTTTAACCTGAAGATCCTGGAGTTTAATTAACTCTAGGTGGTGGTGAGGTGTTAGGTTCACACTGCCTGAAGAGTCCAAGACTAGGACGAAACAGTCATCATTGAAGCTTGAAATTCACTCCACATATACAATACAAAAGGAAGATAACGTACTCCTCTTTTCTCCCCTCTTTTCCTAGGTGTTCCAAATTCAGTTCAAATTGATCTACTTCGCTGGATATTAATTAGTCTACCGGATGAAAATCGTATTGTATTACAGAAGTTATTATACCTTCTGAATCATTTATCACGTCATAGTGATGTGACTGAGGTTAGTGAGTGGTAGTTAGTCATTGTTGCTTATTGTCAATTTGTATATTGCATATTTTGTGTGTGTGTATGTGTGTTGTCGTGTACTAGGAGGCTTTCTGATTTCGAGATCTCTTTTACATACGCTTAATGTTGTCATTTTTCGTGTATCAGACGCATTTTGACTGGAAATTTTTGACGGTTTATGTCCAATATACCACGAATTCGACGATTTACATGCAAAAACCAAGAAGTTGGCAAGAGAGGTAGATACTGAAGACCAGACTTTAGGTGGAACATAGAGAAGGAAAACCCAGCGAAGATATCTAATGATCGCCACCACTACCAACAACAACAATCACCAGTCGCCGCTAACTGCAGAAATCTAAGGGAGTATTACTCCAATCGATAAGCTGCACAGATGAGGATGTTAAAGATAACCAAGGTTAGATCAGGAAAGCGAGACAGGTAATTATTACTCTAAAGATCTACAGTATTCATCACAACAAACCTCGGATGACCCACTTGTCACGGGCTTCCCATTAGGATTTCAGTCAAGCAATGGCCTACATTGAGCGCGATGTCATTCGATGGCCTCCTCAACGGATCCCCGATCAATCCATCTCAATTTTCTCCTACACAATTGTTGGGCAGTCGGCTCTCGCCTGTTGGTTTATTCCCAGCCAGAGTTTCTTGTTGCAAATTCTTTCTGGCCGGCCGGTTAGTTAGCCATTTGACCTTCAGCATGGAGCCAGCCAGCGAAGGTGGCAACTGTTGATAAAAGTCCGTTGTAACCTGTTGGAGATGTTTTTCTTGACGTGCATTGGAAGTTTGCGACCCATATAAAAGAACTAACTAACTGACTGACTGACTTCACATTTGTATTGCACAAAATCCGAATCTTGTTCTTTATACTGGTTTCTTTTTTATTACAGCTTGATTCCACACCGTATTTTTTGGTACAGGTATGGAATTTTCAGCATGCGATATCCGTAGCCCAAATTTTGCAAGCCCACCATAGATACTAGGTGTGCGCCGGCGGGTGATCTAACCCCGGACCATGTGTACGGTCAGCGAGAGTCCTAACCACTGTGCCACCGACGCACAGTGAAGCAGAAGATTTACAAACTGGTTTCAGGTTGATGAAGGCGTATCTTGACTTACCAGTTCTCACTGGCTGGCTGGTTAGCTTCAACATATTCATCCGTGGTTGAAACCGTGCTTACTTTCTGGCTAAGTGAAGGCAGGAAGTAACATCTGTCAAATCTCTCCCGTTGATGGTGATTGGTACTGGTTGTTGTTGTTGTTGTTGCTGCTGGTTTTGGTGGTGGCTGTTTATCCTCATCACCTCCGTCTTCTCTATGTTCAAATGCACTCCTGTCTTCTCTGCCAACCAGCCAGCCTCTTTTGCCAGTTTGTTGGTTTTCGCCTGCAAGTCCTCGAGTTTGTGTGACATTAAACATAAATCATCCATATGCGAAATCCAGTTCTTCTACAGTCTTCCGATCCCTCAGTGCAGCGTATTCCTGTATGTCACTCACTGTAAACACATAGTCTGACGCATACTCCAGTCCACCACATTAAGGATATCATCGGTGATAGTAGTGGGCAGTCAGCTTGTCTTACTCTTGTATTCACTTCAACACTTTTATGATGTCAGTCCGTGGTTCTCTGCAATTCAAAGTCTTGACTGTCATCTTACCAAAACTATTGCCAACAAGCTACTTTCATCGAGACATGCTGAACGTCAGAAGACTGGTCGTCTGGAAAGGATCAAATAACAAGAAATTCTAGTAACGAACCAGCTAAGGACCTATTTATTACCCGATGAATAAGCAGGAAGAAATGCAGATGGATCGGATATTCACTTAGGAGGTTGTAGAGTGATATCACGTTCCAGACAGGCACTCGAATGAAAATGATAAGTTGAGCGGTGTGATCCAAGGGTGACGTAGAAAATATTGTGTGAAATGGAAATGAAAGTTTATAGACGCAGTCACGGGGCCAGAGAAAAATCACCGTAGAGAGCAAGATGAAATGCAGATATGCCGATGAAACCCTGTGCTTCCCTCACAACCTGAGAAATTCCAATAATCGACCAATTCATACGTTACCTTCACTAGATTAGAGGTGTGATGCCTACTCACCTATTGATAGAATCTAATTCTGCTGATGTTAGGGCCAACGAGCCTGATCCACTCTGATCGGTCGCTCTAAGGTCATCAAATCAGATAGTTGTATGCTTGTATCAGTATGCTTGAAATCTGGCAATCATATAATTTGAATAAATCTCTTATTCCCGACCGGTGGCTGCTACCTTGACGTGGTGGTCGGGCTGGCATATCGCAATGACCCACCAACAAGCTACCCTGACTGGAACTAATGTTCCTCCAGGTCCTACCATGCCAGGAAGATTGTTCGGATAGCGATTAGACTGAAAGCAGTTACCGGCATAGTCTAAGATTTCCTTTTTCAACACTACGCTGGAGGTCTGTGGGCAAAGTTGCACTGCTGGGGAACAGGGATGTAACGGCCTCAGTAAGGTGTTTCCCTCAGATGACCAGCATGCCAGCCAACTATGCTATCTCTCCACTCTAGAGAGTGGGGGTTAGGAAAGGTTGACGCCGAAAATTGTACGTCCGGACTTACCCTACGGTGTTCCGTCGGTAGCCGACGGTAAGTTACTAATACGGAACCAAACCAAAAAGCCAGTTCATATAGGCTGTATGTGACTGGACTCAAGCATTTGTCCCCTGGGTTCTGAGGTCATGCAACACTAATTCTGTATGTGTTCCGGTACGCTGAGGAAATATCAACTTCCGCCGACACACTTCCAAAAGCCCACGAAGCCTTCCTGATCATCATCCTTCTTTATCCCTGTCACTTCCAAAATCTCATATTAAAGATTTATCACATTATTGATTTGTGCGTAGGTGGTTCAGTCGTTGGTTTCCAGCCAACTAAACACTCGGTCCCGGTCTCGATTCCTGCCCAGTGCACTATTAATCACGCTTACCTGGTAGTAAGCTTAGAAAAAGTTAGATGTGAGGCGGTTAGCGACCCCACCCCGTAAAAACATGACAAGTTAATTGGTGGATGGTGACTAGCATTGGAATCCAGGACAACGCGCATTTCGTCCTATTTGGGACTCATCAACTAGCTGGATGTACACCTGCATTCATCAGTCACTGAGTGATGATGTTCCCACCGAGGCTCTAACCCAGTGCCGACCATTTCGGTCCAATCAATCGACGGGAAAATTGAATTAAACGTAAACCACTTCGCCTGAAACTTTCAAGCTTACCTCTTGAAACCAGATGTCCCACTAAGAACTCAAAGTAATGAAGAGAAAAAATAAAGTATTTGTGTTACATTTGATCTTTTCCTTGTTTTCACACTTTTTTCTCTTTTCTTTTTATTTTTAGATGAGCGCTAGTAATCTGGCAGTTTGTTTTGCTCCATCCCTTTATCGATTAATTAAACCGCCAACATTGTCTAATCAAGGCGTTAGTCTTAGTCCACGACGTTTAAGACGAACAACTAGTGGACCAGATCCAAAAGATTTAGCTGATCAACGAGCTGCTCAACTTAGTCTAAGTGCAATGATTAATTTAGCACCGAATTTATTTCAAGTGAGTACAATTCATTTAGTTATAAAATATTTCTTTTTTATGTTTAAGTGTTTTTATTATTTTTTATTTTATTCCTCCACGTTCCCTAGTGGAACATAGGACACCAAGCTAGTGACTTGAAGTTTCTGTAGCAGTGGTGTTTATTTTTACGGGATGGGGTTGCTAGCCCCATGCCCAACCCTCCATCTTTACCAGTCTTATTGCTGGCTTAGCGAGGTAAAGGAGTACGTCGGTGGCCGGGGATCGAAACCCGGACCACATGAGGCGTGGTTAGAGAGCATTCTACTGCTGTGCCACCGACACACAAAGCCGGGGAGTTCTGGATAGCTGTTTTATCCTAGTTTTTAGGAATCATTGGCAGTACACACCCACCGCCAGGGTTCGAACCCAGTACCTTCCGGTTACAAGGCAAATTCGTATACCATTCAGCCACTGTACCCCGTTTAAAAGTTAGTTTGTAGATGTATGAATCGTTTCAAATTTGACTGCTGGTTAGTTGCATGTCTGATCATCAGTTAAAGTTAAGAGTTAGAGAACCATTGTTGGGAAACTAACGGAGAGTACTGAAGCGTCAGCTGTTTCAGACTCTTCATAAGTACTCACCCATCATCGGTGTTCGAACCCATGACCTTCTGGTTGCAAGGTGAGCTCATAGAGTATTTATCCATCAGGACCTGATCCAATGGCTAGCTCAGGAATTCGCAATGTATACATAAGGCAACTGCCAGCCAGTGTGACTGGTGAGTAACCGTTCTCTTACCCGACTTAGTGGTTCCCACTGGTCACGACTTCTCATTAGAACTCTAGGTAACTTCCTGTATACAACAAGTCACTAATGAGTATCGGGTTAATTTCTAAGTGTCGAATTGCAGGAGGTTCGGTTAGCCACAGGTGTTCTATCATTAGTAGACGTTAATAAGAGAGGGAGGGAGGGAACCATTGGAAATCTGGTAGAGAGTACTGAACAGCCGTTTCGTCCCAGTCTGGGACTCTTCCATTTCGTTTTCGCAGTTCAGCTGATAACTAGACAGCTTATAGCTCTGACGAAACGTCTTATTATTATTGTCAAAACTTTAATGTTGTAAGACTGTCAAAGTATATCTGGGTGTTGCGCAACCGCTAGACATCTAACCGGTAATCTCCAGGTAACCAGGTAGAAATAAGTTGTTATTCAGCCAGTGGGCAAAGAAAATTCAAAGTTCCGCTACTTCTGACTTCTAGCAACCTGTCTCTAGCTGATATCCAGTTGGAGAGAATTTGTGCTTACACCCAACTTCAGATGGACTGGCTCTATACTGGTTTGAATTTCTCATTAGAATTCTTAGCACCTCCATCTTGTTGTAGTTAGTCACTAGTAGTAGTGAGTAGTAGATTCACTGTCGAATGTTGAGCTGTAAGAATTTGATGGATTTGTAGGTCAAATGTCCCTACTACTGAGCGTTTTCAAACTAGAATGTAACAGTTACCCAGTATCCGCTGCTAGTTTTCAATAGGTCCCTAACTGATGTTCTTCGTTTCGTATAAAATCCAACTTTGATATCAATCAAATCTCTACAATTCAATACTTGTAACTGAAAAGTGAATACAGGAGTAAGACAAGGCTGCTGCCTATTGTTACCGATGATATTCTTAATTGTGGTGGACTGACTGGATTAAGCGGAAGACTATGCACAGAGAGTGAGTAAACAGGAATACGCCTCACTGACCGATAAGAAGACTCTAGAAGGCCTGGATTTCGCGTGTGGGTGACTCATGTTTAATGTCACACAAACTCGAAAAAATGCAGGAAGTGGAAAACCAACAGACTGGTATAAGAGGTAGGCAGTCAGAGAAGACAGGACTCCAAGTGAACATTCAGAAGATGGAGATGATGAAGATAACCAACCACCAACACCAACAGCAACAACAACCAGCACCAATCACCATCAATGGGAGAGATATGACAGAGGTTACTTCCTGCTTTCACTTATCTAGGAAGCATCGTTTCAACCTCAGGCAATCGGAACGGATGAAGATGTCAAAGCCAGTCAGCCAGCCAGCGAGAACTGGTAAGTCAAGATAGCCTTCATCAACCTGAAACCAGTTTGTAAATCTTCTGCTTCACTCACTCACTCAGCCAGCCAGCCAGCATAAAGAACAAGATTCGGATTCTACTCAACACAACTATGATCTCAGCCAGTCAGCTAGCTGTTCAGTGTGGGTCAGAAACCTGACCAGCATGTCACGAAGAAGATTTCCAACAGCCGGCTGCAGACTTTTATCAACAGTTGCCACCTTCGTTGGATGGCTCCATACTGAAGATCAGATGGCCGGCCAGAAAGAATTGACGACAAGAAACTGGCTGGGAACAAACTAACCAGGAGGCAATCGCTCGACGAATATGTAGACGAAAATCAAGATGGATCGGATACGCGCGACTTAGGAGACCGTCGAATGACTTCGCACACAGTGCAGGCCATCACTGGAGTGTAACCCGAATGGGAAGCGACAAGTGAATCGTCAGTGCAAGGGTGACATGGAGGATATCGTGTGTTGCGGTGGAGGAGATGAGGGATTATTGGCAATCGTATAGCAAGCTGAAGAGGACAGTAGAAAATAGAACAAAGTGGAGTTGTGTTGTTAAAGCCCCGTGTTCCCCTGGGAACCCAAAGGAAGCGAAGAAAAAACTTGAAAACCCATTACTCTCCGATGATGATTCGTTGATATACCAAACTAGAATTTTTTATAAGTTTGATATTATTATTATTCCCTTGGAATCTGAGAGGTAGATGTGGCTTCAACAGCACATCTCCACCTTGTCCTGTTCTCTGCAGTTCTCTTCAACTGGCTCCATGATTTCCCATATGCTTTCATCTCCTCGTTGCACGATCTCCTCCGTGTCAACCTTATGACTCATGCCCAACTCTCCGTTTCCCAATGCGGTTCCACCCGAGCGTTGTCCTGATGGTCTCCTCAGTGTGTGTCCAGTCTACCTACATTTTATTCAGAACGTTTTTTCAGTAACAGGTCCTTGATTGGTTTGTTCCGAAAGTTCCTTCTTGCTGATTCTTTCTTGCCTTCTATCTGATCTTCAGTATAGAGTTAGCGAAGGCAGATGTTGATAAAAGTTTTCAGTAGCCTGTTAGAAATGCTTTCCGTGACGTGGTCGCCAAGTTTCAGACTAATATAGAAGAACTGACTCAACATGGGTATTGGTAATTCGAATCTTGTTTCTTGCCATGAGTGCAGTAGATTTCCAAACAGATTTCAGATTGATGAAGGTCGGATTTGCCCGCTCCGATTCTCGTTTTGACATTTTCATCCATGCTATCGCCTGTAATTGAAACGATACTATGTAGATAGGAAAAATGAAGTAACCTTCTTCAAATGTGAGGTTAATTGGTGGATGGTGACTAGCAGTGGAATCCAGAACAACGCGCATTTCGTCTTATGTGGGACTCGTCATCTGGATGTGCCTTCAAATTTGATAGTAGTTGGTGCTTGTTGTTATCGTTATTGTTGTTTAGATATCTTCATAACCTCTGTCTTTTCTGTATTCATTTGGAGTCCTGTCTTCTTTACCCACCTCTTCTGACAACTTGTTGGTTTTCATCCATAAATCTTCGAGTTTATGTGATATTAGACACAAGTCATCCGCGTAGTCCAAATCTTCTAGAGTGTTCTTCTCGGTCCAACCTATCCCTCTCTCTCCTTGTTGAATATTCCAATCGGTTACTAAGAGGAGTATCATCGTTGATTGTATGCAGTCTTGTCATACTCGTGTCTTCACTGCTGAGTTTTGTGTCGTGAATCACTTGACATATGCCCTTGTCATATTGAATTGTTGAATGAAGGCTGATAAAGTATTGGGGTACTTCATCATAGTACTGAAATAGTTTTGAAAGTACTTCGCTATCAACGTGGTCAAAGACCCCAGAGGTATTTAAGTACGGTGGAGACAGTTTACTGTCTGCGTTAATTAAGGTACTAGGAAGCGTTTGGGAATCTAAGGAAGTCCCGTCAGGTTGTTGCAAGTCATGGATTATCCCCATATACAAGAAGGGAGACGAGTCTTCCTGTGATAATCATAGGGGGATTAGCTTGACTAATATGGCGGTATCTAAAGTTCTAGGCTCAATAATAATGCGTAGACCAAGAGGTTCACGGCAGGAACAAACACGAGAGAACCAGGCAGGCCTTAGACCAGGAAGGGGGTGCACTGATCATATCTTCACCATTCGACAGATTTTGGAACATAGGCATACTCACTACCGGCGTCCAACAATCGTTATATATGTTGACCTGAAAGCGGCATTCGATCCCGTTGACCGAGAGGTACTATGACAATGTTTGGCTGTGAAGGGAATGCCGAGTAAATATATATTGCACTAATCAAGGCAGTCTACTTGAACGCATACAGCCGGGTGAGAGCTTACGGCGAGTTGTCATCTGAAGTGGTGAAAACTAGTGGTGTCCACCATTGGGGATGCCCACTATCCCCATTTCTATTCTATTTCATCATAGATGTACTAATGGACTTAACCCCAACTAACTTCAGCGACTCAGGGATTGACTTATTACCACCAGGGAATAATCTCGTTGACTTATAATATGCAGATGGTACAGTTCTGCCTCCTAGGTGAATACGCTAAGAAAATGCAGGGTCTTCTGAACACCTTGAACTGCAATCTACGAATGTTTAGAATGTGATTCGCATGCTCCTGTCAAATGTTACGATGATACTACAGGATTGGACTACACTGACTCCTAGCTTAAAGATAGACAGGAGTGAAGTGGTTAGTGGAGCGTGTTGACCACTTCACTTATATTTGGGAAGTTGCATCAGCCAACGCGACCGGATTGATCGCTGACGAAATCTCAGTATGGATACAGGAGGCTAGTTTTGCATATGCCAGTTTACGCTGTCTCTGGCCTAGTAGACGTGATGTCCGGCTGGCTGTCAACCAAAAGACGTGTGTACTGTTCAGCAGTTCACTTCATCCTCCTAAATGACTGTCATTGAGACTTGGTCATTGAGAGTGGAAGACATGGAAAGGACGGTTAGCTGTCTTTGGTTATAGGTGGCTGCGTTCTATCTCCCGTATTAAATGCCGGTATAATAGTGTAAGCAATATTGAGGTTAGACGTCGGTCGAGTGCTACATAAGGAGGGGAAATCAATTGACGAGGCAGTGAAGTTACACCGGTTGAGATGGTCAGAACATTTGTTACGCATGCATCCCTAGCCATCACCTTCCCTGACAACGGGAAATGTTAGCTGATATAGAGTCAGGTTGGAAAAGAACCAGTGGTGGTCAAACGAAAACATGGATTCATCAGTCAATGAAATCCACAACAGTTAGTTTAAGCCACGTAGAAAGCTGTAGACTGCTGCCTGGTTGGGGTCCTCGGGACGGTAAAACCAATGAATTCTGGAGACAGTTGGTGATATGGCTGGTTTAAAATCGTTGTTCTGGATGGCTGGCGCAGATGCATCCACTTCCTGTGACTTATAATATCCAACAAAACTATAATGTTCTTCGATATTACTATTCTTTTTGCCTAATATCTCTGTTTACTCTGCCTATTTTGCATTTCTTTTTACTTTCTTCTCTTGCTTTGTATGCTACTTGGAGGGAGTGTGGCGATTCGAAGTGCTGCACTTCGGTGCAAAGTTCTATGTTGAAACCAGTCAGTCACTCAGGTCAAAGGCATTTTGCATAGTCGATGGTGTTTCTATTTTTAAAATTTTATGTAAACATTTGTTCTTTTTCTAAAACTTTTCATCCTAGATATCATGTTCTCTATTGAACCACTCAACTCTACTAACAAGTTTAACGCCTATACCACAAGATTTAGAAACAATTATAGCTAATGGTGATTGGCCACAATGGATACAAACATCATTGACTGATTTAATACGTGAATGTTCATCATCTAAGTCTAAAGGTTGGAATGTAATCAATCGTGAAGCTATGAAATGTTATGGTGTTGAGTAAGTGAATCTATATATGCATTATACTTATTTGTCTTAGCTAAAGAGAATTCCTTTTACAGGTGTGATCAGTAGTTGACAATAGTTAGAGGACCATTGGAAAGCAACTCTAGGGAGTACTGGGTAGCTGTTTTGTCCCAGCTCGGGACTCTTCAGAACAGTGCGCACCCAGCGGGATTTGGACTCAGGTCCTTCTGGTTAAAAGGCGAGTTCGTAGAACATTCAACCAATGGGATGGGATGCAATGCTCCAACTGTCAACCAATGCTATCGGCGAGTAACTCAATTCATACCTGACATGGTGGACTCAGACGATCACGACTTAACACTAGAACTCTAGGCAACTTCCTGCATGCATCCAGTGGCTAGTGAGCATCAGATTAAACTTCGAATATTGGTTTGCAGAGGGATCTGATTGGTTACAGGTTCGATTGCCAGCCAACTTTTTAATTTATTTCGTTGGTGGGTGGCTACCGGTGGGATTCAGTTTATGCGCATTTCATCCTATCTGGAACTCATCACCTGGAGTGAGTGAGTGAGTGGTGGCACCTCCTAGCAAAAGAACTGGTTATCGTCACCTTGTAGACGTTTTTATAGCGTTTCAAATGATGGGTGCTGGATTCAAATCTCATTGGGAGTATTATTGACTCACTAGCTGACGAGTCTGTAATGGGACGAAACACATACTAACTTGAATTGCACTGCCAACTTCCACCAAATAAGGTATCTTTGAAGCCTTCGTGCTAAGAGTTGATATATCAGCAGAGACTGAGCATTTCACTCCAGTTTTCATTGTGAACTGTTGTTGTCATGATGATGGATGTTCGAATGGACCACCATGATGGAGCATTGGAGCATAGTTATTTAATCTTATTAAAAGAATCTCCTTTTTTCATTCCATTCTTTCCAAGTGGAACTTAAGGCTTCAAGTTTCAAGTATTGATGTTTCACTAGTGATAGTATTGTTGTCTCCACGAAGTAGAATTCCCTCCTTTTCCGGACTTACCACTTGCCAGTTAACTAGGCGAATCCTTGGAGTTTATCGACCGGATAGCTGTTTCGTTCTAGTTTGGGACTCTTTAGCGGCTCGCATCCATGACCTCACCAGGGGTCGAACCCAGGGCTCTAACGTTACGAGAGGAGTTCGTTGATTAGTTAGACCCTGTAACACAACTCATTCACCCTTATGTAACTTCCAGTCTGTGAGTTTCAGTCATGTAACTGATGATAAATAAGAAATTATCCACTCGACTATTTGGTGGGTCATGAAAGCCACCTCTTGTGCGTCGGTGGCACAGTGGTTAGGACTCTCGCCGACCATGCACATGGTTCGGGGTTCGATCCCCTGCCGACAAACACCCGATATCTATGGTCGGCCTGCAAAATTTGAGCTACCGCTATCCATGATGAAAATTCCATACTTGTACTGAAAATACGGTGTGGCATTAAGCCGTAATCAAAATAAAATTAAAATAAATAAATAAAGGGGTACCAGTTATTAGTGGACGGAAGTGTTTGGTCACTGTTGCTTACGCGTCGGCTCCTAGTAAGGACTCTTCGGCAGTGTTTGAGAATTAGGTTGGGACGGTTGAGTGGATGGTGACTAGCAGTGGAATTCAAGATGTGCATTTCGTTCAATCGACGGTGAAGTTAAATTATATAGCATCCCAAGGGATGCAAACGCTCCGATGACCTTGAACGCATGCTAGTCATTGGTTAAGGATACCTATCTTTACTACAACACAAATATGAACGCTTTTCACCAACTAAGGAGAAAACTTCACCTAGATTGCGTTTTTAAGTACTGCTTGGATAATATTTTAACAGCTGTCTAGGTTTAGGATTAGGATTAGGATAATAGTTACAGTCAGGGTTACTACCAAGGTTACGGTTAGTGTTAAGTCTAGGGTTTGGGTCAGGATTAAGGTTAGGGTTACGATTAGGGATAGATTTAGATGTGGTATTACTTATTCTAATTTGTTTTATCATCCACATTTTACCAGTAAGTAGTCGTCGATCCTTTTACAGGAAGCCGCAGTAATTCAACCGACGGCTTTTGGGGAAGACTGCAGAACAGGATAAGAGTGATAAACGGGACACACAAAACAAGCTCACCTTAAGCCACCTCGGTGAATACATGTACAGAAAATGGTTTAACTTAGAAACTGTCAGAGAAAGATACCCTGTTTAATGTGTTTTCGTGCATTTTCTTGTAAATAAACATCATATTTTGTGCAAAAATTCCTCACTTTTATGATTGGTCGGCTCAAGGTCACTCGTGGGTTCTCATCCCTTTTGAACACTGTTGTTTGCCTTTGCCCCCAATCGACCAGGGGAAAATGAAAATTAAATTCAAAACAGATAAAACAGTAGGAAGGTGTTTTTGTTCAGATGAAACATCCTGCTGTAGTCAACATGTGGGATTACGTAGGACTAGTTCTCCAACTTATATAGAAGTATTAGCCATCTGCACACTCTTATAAGAACTCCAAAACCTCCGTGGAACAGCTACTGTTTACATTTTCTTTCTTCCCTCTTACTGCAATATCTCCTGAGGCTGCCGCTGCTGCTATTGGTGCTTTTCAGACGGTCTTAACTTTCAGTGGTTTAGTGGTAGAATGCTTACTAATCACACGAAAGGTCTGGGTTCGACTCCCGGCTGACATACACTCCTAAACCTAGCCTAGTTCAGTAGGCTTTAGTATAACCGAAAAAGAAGGAAGGTCGAACGATAGACAAGCAACCCCAGTTTGTGGAAGAGCAAACAACATCACTGCAACTGTCACTTCAAAGCTTAGAGCTTCACACCTTACGTTTCACTCGGATGACAAAGAAAGAATGAGAAAAAGTGTAATGGAATAACACTGGGAATTCTGTGACCATTCCATTTTATTTCATTGGGAATTTTAATTATACATTTGAAATAATCAATACTAATTCGCAATTGTTAGGCTTTCGTTATCAACCAGCATCAGTTAGAACTACTGGATGGATGGATGAATGGATGTCCTAAAGCTGTGTGGAGAAGTCGCAAACAGTAGCGTTCACCATGTGTCAAAAAGAAGTGGATGCCCGTCGACGTCATTCGTTAAGGGTAGCGCTATGTAACGAGTTCACAAAGTTAGAATTCATGGGTCACTGAATCCCTGCAAAAGTGGCTGAAAGGTTAACGATCTTGGTCTTGGGATCTGAAGTTCCCAAGTTCGATCCCCGGCAGTGACTTCGGGGATGTGCACCACCGAAGAGTCCCAAAATAGGACAAAACAGCTACCCAGTACTTCTTGTTGACTTTCAACAATGACCTTCCTAACTGGAATGGTGGTTCGTTTCGAAAATCTAAGGATCGAAATTAATCCAAATCCCTACAAGCCCCATAATCGAATTCATTCCTAAGTAGGCAGAAATTATTAGGGATATTTCTTTGTGTCTGTTGAAGAAATTCCTTCAAATGCTCAGAGATATTCTACATTGTAAGAAAGAGTTATAAAAGATCAAAGAACATTGAAATTACCTAATCAAAGATGGTTTATTGATCAATTTGGTTCATCAATCACTTTGATTTTAATTAGTACTGTGAATGCAGTTACTTAACAGCACTGGTATTTGCCAACAGGGAGTACTGTGCAGCTTTTTCCTACTATTGTGGGATTCTTTAGCACTGCACACTCACGACTCCACCGCTGGAGGTCGAACACGACAACTTCTGGTTAGGATTTGATAGTGTGGAATATTCCTATATTGTGAATTAAAACTCAATCTGAACGAAGAATATTCTTTTCAATACATCCTTCTCTTCAGGTGCTTACAATTATAAAGTATAATATTTGTTGTCATTACAATGAAGGGTTCAAGAACATCTACTAGCTTAGTTCAGCAACGGGGAAATCAAATGCATAAAAAGCTAGATCCTGTCACACTTGGTCGATACTGGACATCACATCGACGCCAACACAGCCTTCAGGGTTATATACCAAATTCCTAAGTAGTTATCACGTACAGTTCACTTACGTCTCCTACACATAGCTGAAGCTGTTGCAATAAGATCGGCTAGATCAGAGCTTTGTATCTAAAAAGAACACGTCCAGACACTGTTCCTACCGTGGCCAAACTTGGATTGATGATTCTTCTTCTCACCAAGAGTACTTCTTCCCCTTAACCCCTTTGATGTTTTTTTTCCTTTTATATTATCCGTACTTATTATTATCAGTGATATTATCTCTTTTCTCAATATATGCCTCCACCTGTTTCATTTCACACATTCGTTATTTCATTATGAACTTATCATTGCAGTCTTACTATCTCCTGTTCAATACATACTACTTTGTACTAGCCACTCACTCACCTGACACCTTTTATAACCTTGAACTGACTTGTCGACTTTTCCCTTCCCCACATTCTACGAATCTATTATGACGACTAATCACCACCATTGTCTCCCATTTCACAATATTTTGTAATCGATTTCAGCCTAGCACGTTTGCCACACAAATACGACTAATTATTTTGACACCCCAGAATTACTAATCTGTTATTCTACGTTAAAAATGTATCCGCCGTATAACTGGCCATTATTGTAACGACAACAAGTATTATATTTTACAACTGAAAGAACCTGAAGAGAAATTATTGAAAAGTATATTCTTCGTTCAGGTTGACTTTTAATTCTGGTTAGGAGCCCAGATTCGTTGATTATTCAGCCACTTAGATGCATCTGTGGTTCATTGGTAGATTGCTCACCAAGAACGACGCCTCATGTGGTCTAATGTTCTATTTCCCACTGATACACTCCTTGACTTCAATTAGCCTATATTAAACTACGTAAAGGGGAAGGTTAGGCGGAAGACTAGTGATCTCACTCCATAAAGGAGAAATCATCACTACTGGAAACCTCACATCTCAAGCTTAAAGCCCTGGAATGAAATGAATGGCTAGGTGAAGTTTAGCAGTGCGTTGACTAGGAATCGGACCCGGATCACGTTGAGCAACTCGTGGAACATTCAATCACTGAATCACCGACTCATGCTCATACAGGCATGATAGTTTAACTGAAATGTGCGTATTTCTGTGTGTTTTACAATTTTTTTAGTTCTGGAGCTAATGAACTATTGGATGGTTTTGAAGTTCATTACAAAAAGATTCCGAATTCAAGTGAAACAAAAACTACACCGAACACCTTACGTTTATGGCGTTGTTCACTTCACATTCCGGAATCGAATCCACGTGTTATATTGAATCGATTCTCTGAAGACAGGTTAGTTTTAATTACACATGATTTATGATTTTCATTAGTTGTAATTACTTCACATATCTTTAGGGAGAAATTGAGTATACAACTATCGTACAATTATCAAGATAGATATCTTGTTCAGTAGAGATATGTATTATTATTTATTGTTATTATTGTTTCTTTTAGTTCCTAGGGGAAAATAGGGCTTCAGCCACACGTCTCCATTGCCTTCGGTTCTCTACCAACGTTTTCACGTGGCTCCACGTCTGCCCACATGCTCTCATCTCCTCTTCGCATCGCCTCCTCCTCCATGTCACCCTCGCACTGACGACCAACTAACTCGCCGCTTCCCGCTCGGATTCCACTCGAGGGCTTCTCTAGTGACGTCACTTGATGGTTTGATTTCTCAGAGTATTGCCAGCCAATCCACCTCCATTTCTTCTTGCATATTTGTTGCGCAGTTGGTTCCTGCTGGGTTGGTTGGTTCGCTCCCAGAGATCCCTGTTGCTGATGATTTTTGGCCGGCCATCTGATCTTGAGTTGCATTGAGCGAAGACAGCTGTTGATGAAGATGTGTAGTTTGTTCGAAATGCCCTACTTGACGCGGCGTCAAGTTTCTGATCCGTATAGTAAGTAGCACTGACTTCACATTGGAGTTGAAAATCCGGATTTTATTTGTCATGCTGAGTGCTGTTGATCTCCACACAGACCTGAGAGTAATGAAAGCTTACCTTGCTTTCCCGACCCTCGTTGCTTCGATATCCTCATCAGTTCCATCCGCCTGTAATTGAAACAATGCTTCCCAGGTAGGTAGGTGGTAAAAGAGGTTGCTTCTTTCAGATTTCTCCCATTTATGCTGATTGTTGTCTGTTGTTCTTGCTGTTCGTCATGGCCAGGAATCTCCATCACCTCTGTTTTCTCTATGTTCACCTAAGTCCAGTTTGTGGCAAATCAGACATATATCATCGGTGAAGTCCAGATCCTCCAAGTTTTTTGTGTGGGTCCATTTTATGCCTGTTTCCCCGTTTCCCGCTTTCTGTCTGTCACATTATCCAGTCTACCGCAATCAGGAAAATCATTGAAGATAATAGGCGGCCAGCTTGTCTTACTCCCATCTTCATTTCTTCGAAAGATTCCGTAAGTTTCCCGTTGTGGATTACTTGGCATGCAGTATTGTCTTACAACTGTTGGATAGCTGAGGTGTATAATTGTTGGCGGCACCCCTTTGTAGTAGCGAAGTAGTTGCGAAGTAGATATTTAACAGTTAGTTGCATGCATATTATTGTCATTATTCGCTTAGGTTTTGAGTAGAACATAGAGGGCATCAGAAGTATATCTCCATTTCATCCTGTCCTGCGTGTATTCCTCTTCAGCTGTCTCCAAGACTGTCTGTAAGCTCTCATTTCCTCCTCACACGATACCCCGCCCATGTCACCTTCGGACCACCGCCCGACTAGTCGTTTCCCATTCAGGTTCCATTCGAGAGTATGCTTGAATTGCGATGTCATTCAATGATGTTCTCAGTATATGTCAGATCCACCTCCATCTTCCTCGATATATTTGTTGGGCAGCACTATCACTGATAACAATGTTAATTCTATGCATGTGTTCTAATGACTTTCGTACTGACAAAGAAACAATATTTATCTATGGATAGACATATGGATGAGATGTTAAATCGTCTGTTGAAAGCTAAGATGGCATACTCCAATTTGGGTCACCTCTAGTTTCGTAGCGATGTCGGCCTGGCTATCAAAGGTGTTGAGTTTACAATGGTTCGGTACATGCAGTTTTCTTCTTCGTCTGTGAAGCATAACATATTCCAGCTGAGGGTGTGCGTCAACTCGGCCACCACTACCTGCGTAAAATTGATTCCATCCAACGGAATCTTCTTGTGAGTAATTGTGAGTTTTTGTAGCCTGTGCTTGGACACAGTGACGATCACCACTCATTGAGTGTATCATTACCTTGAAATATTGGCTTTAGTGGATTGGGTGTGTACTGCAGATGTCATCCCAGAGACTTCCGTACCACTCTGTGTTCGCTAGCCCTGGTATTAGATGGTAAAAGTGAAGAGGTGGTAAGTCTATGATGTGGTGCCGTGGGATGAATTGTAAGCTGATTCTCCTTTTCCATGTTGGTGATAACCTTCTTAGCCAGCTCCATTCTTTGTTCAACATCATCCATATCACTTTCGGACGTTCAAATCATCAAGTTTGTTATAATTACCGGATTAAATTGATTTTTTTTTTCTTTAAAATATCGATTTGGAATGATTGGAACCAAGTGACGAATGATAGTATTGTGTTTTGATTGGTTGGAGGATTTCATCATGAGCTGACATCAGTTAGAGAACCATTGGAAAACCAGCGCAGCTGTTACTGGACAGCCAGCTGTTTCGTCCCACTAGTTTGGGACTCTTCGACGGTACTCACCAACAGCAAGGGTTCAAACCCAGGTGAGATAGCTCGTAGACCATTAAATTACTGGGACCCCATACATTGGCCAGCAAGTCCATGAATTCTAACTTCTGCCAATTTACGTCATAGTGCGACCACTTCGCAATGTCTTCTTCGATGAGTAACTGTACACACTTCCGACCTCCTGTACCCTACTGGTCACGGCTTCCCACTAGAGCCCCGGGTAACCACCTACCTACCTGAATATAGCCAGTCGCTAGTGAGCATCAGATCAATTTTCAGGTGTTGGTTTTGTAGGGATTTTGTTTGATTGGTTGGAAGATTTCATCATGAGCTGAAGAATCCCAAACTAGGCTGACGAAACAGCTGTCCAGTACCCCCTGCAGGTTTTCCAATGGTTCTCTAACTGATGTCAGCTCATGATGAAATCCTGTGACCAACAAACCAATGCGTCGGTGGCACAGCGGTTAGGACTCTTGCCGACCATGCACATGGTCTGAGGTTCGATCCCCCGCCGACGCACACCTGATATCTATGGTCGGCCTGCTAAATTTGGGCTACTTTTATCACATGCTGAAATTTCATACTTGTACCAAAATACTGTGTGGAATCATGCTGTAATAATAATAATAATAGTAATATTGGTCCATTTTACATTCTGACTGATAGACTGTAGATCTATTCTGCCGTTACACATAACACACACGCACACGCACATGCAAACGTGTTTGGTGAATTTTTCTATCAATTCAATAATGAGTAACCTACTTTTTACTTCTTATACTTTGAATTCTAGAACTTCATGGGATCCAGAAGTGGCAGAAATGAAAATTATTGATCAAATATCTGATTGTGTTGAATTGTGTGAATTACACATGGCTTATACATATCCACAACCGAAGTGTGTACTTCATTTAATCCGTGGTCTTCAGTATACCCTAGACGATGGCTGCTGTGCTATGCTAAGTGAATCAATAACGAATAACAGTTTTCCAAATGTAAATACACCTTTCTGTGTACAGTCAACAACAGCGACAACAGCAACTGGAACTGGAACTACTGGAATGAATCCAAGCGGAAATAGCATACTTGGTCATGTCTATGAAGATCATGTTTACATTCGTCCAAGTAATGATGGTCAAGGTTGTCGTGTGTATTTACTATCACGTATAGATTTGAAGTAGGTTGTGGGATTTTTATTGGTTTTATGAATTTGAGGTATGTTTTTTTCTTGATTTTTGCCAGACTTTTATATGTGATGCGGCAGACGGTAGTAAAGGATTGAAGATGGGATGAAATGAAGATTTTGGTATTGTGAAATGGGGGGGTCAAACTATCGAGTTGAGTGTGATTTTCTCTAGGGATAGGATTGATCTTCCGAGGTAGGGTTGATAGCCTCATGCCCAACTTTTCTTTTTTTACCTGACTTTGTCGGACTGATAGTTGCTGCTTTGACGTGGCAGTCGAGTTTGTGTATCGCAATGACCCAACAAGCTACACGGGTTGGAACTAACTGTTCCCGTAGGTCCTACCATGCCAGGAAGATTGTTAGGATAGCGATTAGACTAGAAGCAGTTACCGGTATAGTGTAAGGATTTCTTTTTCGACACTATGCTGGGAGTCTGTGGGCGAAGTCGTACTGTTGAGGAATAGGGATGTAACAGCCTCAGTAAAGTGTTTCCCTCAGATGACCAGTATGCCAGCCAGCTATGCTATCTCTCCACTCTGAAAAGAGATGGTTAGGAAACGTCGACCCTTAAAATTGGATATCACGACTTACCCTACGGTGTTTCGCCCGTAGACAACGGTAAGCTACTAATGTCCTCAACTCTACTGTCAGTCACCACCCATAAAGATAAAAACAAGAATAGCTATCTCTACTTTTAACTCGCTCAAATATTTTTATTATCATTTTATGTTTACACCTGATTTATCCTGTGTGTTTCTTTTTCATACTTTTCTTTTTCCAGAGGCTATGGACCTGATTGGTATGTAAATCAATGGGGACACACATTATGTCGAAGATTAGTAAATCTAAAAAGATCCTTTCAAAAGTCCAAACCATTACCAGTTTTAGTTTATGAATTAGACGAATCCGTTAATCGACCTTCTCCGCCACCCTATGCCACTATTACAACTACTGCTACTACTACTACGACCATTGATGATAACAGTCAAATTATCCCATCGACAGTAGAAACTTCATCATCTCCGACGTTGTCAGCAGTTACCAGTACAACAACAACAACTACAAAAACAGCAACAACGACTGTTGTGATTAACAGATTCTAAAAAAGAAAATATCATCTACGTGTATTGATTTTCTCATCAACGAAAAAAGACACAGCACGGCGGTACAACTTTCTCCTTATGTGTGTATATAATAATAATAATAATAGTAATACCACTCGAGTAATTTCTGTCCGCCCTTACTGTAACCCTTACTGCTGCATCTCTCTGTATATGTGTGTCTTCATGGACATTGCCGCCGCCGCTGCTACTGTCTATATGACGTATGAACCTTTCTAACATTTATTTCTCAAGAGTGTATACTTATATAAAGCTTACTGACAAATGATCATAACGTATTCACACACAAAAACGGCGATGTATACACGTATGTCTTCCGACGACAACAACAGCAACAAGAAACTACGAAGAAATTCTATTTTTTATACACACATAATAATTTTTTTTGAAAAGGTTAAGATGTTAAATGGTGAGGAGAGCTGCATGAGGGAGGGAGAGGAGACTGATGAGGGCGGAAAATGGCGCGTCCATGTACTTAATTCATTTCATCAGATTTTTATTATAAATATTGTTACTACTGATATTACCAAATTAGTAGTAATTGAGTAATATTTAAAAAAATACAAAATAATAAGATTGACTTCATTATTATGCAATTACTACTCTTACTACTAGCTAATATTGTGTATGCTGAACTGTGTGTGTTTGTGAGTGCGTCAGTATGTGTGTGTGTATGTGCGGGGTGGGAGAGGAGGAGGGGGAGTGTACTTGTGTAATATTTTTGTTATTCTTTCTCCGGCCTTTCTTTCGAAAAGTCCTTTCTTTAACATTTGTTTGTTTATTGTGCCACAAAGACACTCATTTGATTAATTGAATGATGATTTATATTCACAGTATACAACTAATCTTTGTACATATGTATTTTATTCACTCTTTACCGCCCTCCGGCCACCCCAACCTATCCCACCGCATCATCTCATCACAGAGTTTCACATTTGAATTTAATTCGTTTAATGTTGGTCAGTTGGAAGCTTTATTATTATTGTTATGTTTGTTACTGTTACTGAGACAATTGCGAAGTGGTTTAATGCCATGAAATACTTTGATGATTTGCAGTTGAATCGAAAATATTCAATATATAAGAGAGAGAGAGGAGGTTGTTTCTCCTCCCCTCCCCTCTTCTCCGTCGTCCACTCGACTCCCCCCCCACACACACGCCGACCAACGTTTCATCATTTGTGAATGCCAGAGATAAATCTAAGGATTCTTTTCACTCCACAACCTCCTTTCTGTTCCTCATCTTCGTCCTCTTCGTCTTTCTTTTGTTTTCAACAGACAGACAATAGACGTCAGTGTGTGGAACTAATTACTCACATGTCTTTCCATTGTGTTTACTGACTGATTGACTGCCCGCCCGACTGTTGGAATGGTTTTGAGCGGTTTTAACTGATGTTTGATGGGTTGATTTAATTCTTTATCTTCCTCTGTTTCCCGCCAAACTGGTTTTTCGTCTTGTTTCGTGTGTGTTTGTACACGTGCGCGTGTCTGAGAGTCTCTCCCTGTCTCTTCGTCTATTTATTGTTCTACTTCACACTACTGCCACACTACTAATATTACTCATGAGTAGAAATTCTCGATTTTACCGATTATTTTGTTTATAGAATAATAATAATTATGTTAATAATGATAATATTAATATTAATAATAATAATACTGATCCAATAGTGATAATAACAATAATATTACTAATAGTAAAAATAATAGTGAAAGAAATTCCCCGGAAGGTGAAACAAAACAAAAAAAACTGGAATTTGCTTGAAATATACTCATGTACAACTTGTTTATTATTGTTGTTGTCGTTTTTGAGTTCTTGTATGTGTGTGATGAAAGAAGTGGGTCAGTATTATTTACAGTTTAACGACAGATTGATGTTAGCTAGAGATTCATAGAAAGCTAACAGGGAGTAATTGACAATCAGCTATTTCGTCCTCGGTGGAGACTCTTCAGAATAGGGTGCACCCACCAGAGTTCGAGTTCAGGACCTACCGGTTATAAGGTGGGCTGGTAGATCACTTCCAGCTACTGGGACCAGATCTAGTGTCCAGTCCACGAATTCCAACCTTTGTCAATTCACCGTTTGTCAGTTCTTAAACTCTCCGTCTAAGTGTTATGCGGTAGTACAATGCCTTACTGTCTAGTCAATAAATTAACAGGAATTATCTAATCACATCTTCACATATCGATTGGAATCATACTGATCGATAACGAGTGCAGGATTAGGTGGTGGTGGTGGTGGGAAATAATCAACTGTCAGAGATTATATGTTTTTGTGAAGATATTCTTCTTATGAGTTTGACCACGGATTGATATCATACATGTATTCCCCTTAATGAATTTGAACAAAGCAAGAACTACAGTCTTAGCAGAATAAAATGTTACCATCTTTTATTTCGCTGCCTTCTCGTCAGCTGCGTACAGGGCAAAGACATTATTAAATATATCTACAAAAACAATTTAACATACTTGCAAAGAGTTCATTTTAAACAAAAATCAATCGATAAAAATATGCATACACTAATAATATATACATATGTATATGCAATAATAAAGACTATTCCGAACAACAATAATAATCATACACAATGAAAACTTTTCAACATCTCGCAATTGGATGAAAAATATCCAGTTACCAGGGCAAAGAAAGACTGATAACTGCTTCTTTCTGAACGCACAAATCAGGTTTTAGGCGCTTGATGGAAAAGGCTTCAGCAAACTTAAGGAGCATTGAACTCTTTTGCTTATTGATAATTTTGAACGACTTTTCGACGTCCACCTCATGACTCGTATCAAGAAGATGCCTGGCGATGGCACTGCCTAAAGCATTTGTTCCCTTTAGACGTAAGCTTTTTGGTACATGTTCAGAAAATCGTAGATATGCCCTTCTTTCTGTTCTTCCAATGTAACTGCTCCCGCAGATACATGTAAATTTGTATATACAGTTGGAGTTAACATGAGAAGGATATCTATCGATTTTTGATTGCACCAGAGAGCAAGTTGTTCGAAAGACGGGAACGAGCTTAGCTTGTGGATAGGCTATTGCTAGTTATGTACTCAGCCTTCTGTTTATCATTGCTGCAATGTTTTCGCCTTTATAATCAAGCTCAAAGTAGATTGGCTTTTTTCTTAAGGTGATTTGTTTTTCATTTGCGACTGCAGATCTTCCATACTTGTTGATGAACCTTTGAGGGTACCCATTGCTCTTCAAAGTCTTTTCAAGAAACTCAAATTCTTCTTCTAGTTTCTCTGTAGGGCATATTCTTCTCGCTCTATAGTACAGAGTCTTGACCAGTGCTCGTTTATAGCTATTTGGACAAAAGTTATTAAAATGTAAGTATTGTCCTTTTCACGTGGACATTCGATAAATTGACTTTTGAAGACTACCGTCTTCCAGGCGTTCCATGGCGATGTCGAGGAATTGGAACTTTCCGTCACTTTCATGTTCCATAGTGAACTCAATATTGGCGTGTGCATCATTGAATAATCTTAGTAAGTGTGAAGCATGATTTTCATTTTTGCACACTATAAATGAAAACCGTGGTCAAACTCGTAAAAACAAATTTAATCCTTACAAACCAACTCTTGAAAATTAATCTGATGCTCGCTAGTGACTTGCTACAGGACAGAGTTTCCTGGAGTTCTAGTGAGAAGTTGTGACCAGTGAGGTCCATCCAGTCAAATGTGAGGATGGATGTCCCGCCAATGACATTGCTTAGTGGTCGCGCCAAATGCACCACGAATTGGTAGAACTTAGAATTCATGGACTGGCTGGCCATTGAGGAGTCGGGTCGCAGTAGCTGAATGGTATACGAGCCAGCTTGCCTTGTAACTGGGAGGTCCTGGGTTCGAACCCTGGCGGTGGATGCGTACTGCCGGTGATTCTCAAACTAGGACGGAGGAAACAGCTATCCAGTACTCTTTGGCTGGTTTTCAATGGTTCTCTAACTGATACCAATCCGTCGTCAAACTCGTAAAAACAAGTTTAATCCTTACAAACCAACTATTGAAGATATTCTTTGTTGATATTGTGTCGATTAGCACGAAATCTAAGTCTAGGGTACAGTGACGATTGAAGCCAACTGTGTAACATTACTTTTCGAAGTGCACCACAATGATATATATATATATATATATATATATATATATATATAGTTTTACACAGGCAGTCCAAGTTTAAACAAAATAAATGTATGCATACAATGGTAAAGGAGTTACGTAATAGAAACGAGAGATGCGTAAGCTGCTGAGTGACTAATAAATTAGGTAACAATATACTGAGTTCAACTCAAATCATAAAAACAAGAGACAAACAAATTACAAATTATAAGAGGGGATGAGGTTAAAGCCAAAGATTACACAATCAATCGAATGAGAGAATAAGGACATCCAGTTACCAGCGTTTGGTAGAAATTGCTTCGGCAAACTTGAGGAGAATCGAGCTTCTTTGTCTATTGATAATCTTAAAGGATTTCGCGATTTGTACCTGATGACCAGTGTCGAGGAGATGTCTGGTAATAGCGCTATTATAAGAGTTTATTCCTTTGAGACGTAGGCTTTTCGGTACATGTTCAGAAAATAGGAGGTGTGCCCTTCTTTCTGTTCTCCCAATGTAACTGCTCCCGCTGATACACGTAAATTTGTATACACAGTTGGAGTTAACCTGAGAAGCGTATCTATCGTCTTTTGACTGCACCAAAGAGCATGTTGTTCGATAGACGGAAACCAACTTAGCTAACTGCAGGATATGCTCTGCTTATTGACGTACTCAGTCTTCTGTTGACCATTGCTGCAATGTTATTACCTTTGAAATCTAGTTGAATGAAGACAGGCTTTTTTTCAACTGTGATTTGTTTGATGTTTTAGCCTTCACATCTTCCATATTTGTTAATGAACCTTTGAGAATAACCATTGTTTTTCAGCACCTTTTCAAGGATCGTAAATTCTTCCTCTGGTTTCTCTGCAGAGCATATTCTCCTCGCTTTATA